ACATGTTGCTAGTAGATAACTTTGAATATGATGGTTGAGATTTTTAAGGAACTTGGGTCCCCTCCTACCCCGTTAACAAATTTTAAAGTTTAAATGCCAATTTTGGATTGTACGATCCTTATGGGATTTTTAAATTTGATCACTGTTTTTGTTCAAAAAAGCTTTATCAGTAACTTCTATGAATTTTTAATTGTTTGCTTTTGAGCCAGAAATAAGTTTTATTTATTTTTCCTGAATTAATTTTAGATTAGCCAACTAAGAATTTTTTGTGAAACATTTTCATTCTACAATCTCCTCACTGGTTGTTCATTTAAGTAGGGAGTATTTATACTAATTAATGACTGGGTAAAAGAGGAAGCACATTTTGATGTGTAGCCTAAAGGCAGGTAGTTACAGGTTTCTGTGATTTTTACAGGATGTGAATTCCTAGTGGTAGAATGCTGTGCTATGCTACTGCACTGTGTCCTATGCAGTAGTGATGTCAGTCACTGACTTCTTAGCAGTTTGGCCAGTCCCACGTCACTTCCCGAGGTCTGCATTCATGATGGGATCTTTGTGCTCACCCGGGCATGAGGAAAAGTCCTCACTTCTCAACTTACCTCGTGATCTTGATTCTTCTAGAACATACTTCCTTTTTATAATGTGAATCAATTGAAAAATGAGATTTGATATGGAATTGTGTAAACAATTAAGCTTACATGTGTATAATTTGACAGATTCCCTGTATTGTACCAGTAATAACTGAAAAGCACACCTAAGGCACAGGGTTTTTTGGGGTTTTTTTGGTTTGTCTTTATTACAGAAATACAGTATATGTTCATTTAAAAATGAATGGATATGCAAATTGCATCTCCCAAGGGGATGTATTTTCTATACTTTTGATGTGCTTTTTTTCACTGTGAATTTTTACTTGCTTCTTCCACTTGGTCTTTTCCTCTGTCACTTTCCTAGGTCCTACTGTCTTTCATATTTATCTAGGTTCTTGAGGCAAAGCTTTCACATCCCTCTTGAAATGGACCCACTACTCTGTCTCTGGGGTCCTCTGCAAATTAGGAAACAGTGGAGCTATTGCCATGTGTGTAACATGCTTCCTAGAATTGTCATGCCTTCTGCCAGTGTGGCTATTCTGTGGCCATGTTTTCCTTTGACAGGATTGCCAAGATCCTGCCCTTGCAGAACTCTTCAGATGCCTCTAAGCGAGTTTACAGTAAGCTGCTGAACCTTCCTTGTGTGGTGAAGCCACTCTGCTCATGAATCTGTAGTCACTTCTTAGCCCTTATCAAGTGCATACTTGTCTTCTGAACCTTGCTCCCACTTCTACCTAGCAGGGACCTCAATTTAAGTCTCTTCAGTCTTTAAGGCCTGGCCTTATTTCTGGCACTGAACGAACTCTTAATTCTAAGGTCTATTTCATTCATTGTCTTCTTTGAATCCCTACAAAGCTTCAAATCTGTACTAAATATTCTTATACCAAATCATATATTGTCTTGTACTGTTCCTAGCTGCTACTGTATATTAGTTTTGTCTGCCTCATGAGAATGTAAGCTCTTCAAGGGCAGGGATCACGTCTTAATTTTTGTATTCACCACAGTGCCTAGCACAGTGCTTGGCACATGGGTGCTGAATAAATACTTTGTTTATTGATCAGCAAACTATTATCTGGTATTTTTAATTACGAAGGGATAACATGTATGTATACAAACCTGTGCCTAGTTGCTAAGATTTAGGATTGCTTCTGGAAGCAGGATGAAGCCAAACTGACTATGATCAATGGCAGTGATTTCATGGTCGGACATGCAAGCCAAGGTGACCACCAGCTACTATAGTCATGGTCAGACCAGATAATTTGGTCTTCAGACTTAGCTATCTCAGACAAGTGTGAAATGGGCCTGACACATTCGGTTTTGGAAGAAGAGCCAGGATATTCTTTCAATGCTTTGTTAGCTTCTTTATATGAGAGTCCACAAATAGACTTCTGAAGAAGAGGCAGCAGATTTCAGGCTATTGTTAAGGGAAGTGTGGGCAATGTAGTTTGATGCTAATATAAGAGATAGTTTTTCATCTGGTCCTTTTAGCTTTGAGGCAGCTGTATAAGTAGGTCACTAGCACAGACATGAATGAGTTCCTTATGTTTTACCTTCATTTAAAAAAGAAAAACTATTTAAAATTAAATAACCATCTAAAAACCTTCCTTTCCCCCCTTTGGGGGGCAGGGGTGAGAAGAATAAATGGTTTGCGTGATAATTGTGCCTGTGATTAGTGGATGCTTCTAGAGAAAGGGCGTGCGCGTGTGTGTGTTGGGGGCCATCAAGATGACACTGCAACTGCAGTAGAATTGGTTGCCTCAGAGCATGAGGACCTGAGTTTGATCTCCAGGATCCATATGGTGGAAGGAGAGAAGCAACTGTCACAAGTTGTCCTCTGACTTCCACTTTCTCACATGCACAATAAATAAATGTAACAAAACCAATTTTAATGGGTGTTTTGTGGGTTTTGTTGTTCCTTGTTGCTGTTGGGTTACTTTAGGATTGTTTCGTTTGAGACAGGGTCTCACTATGTAGCCCTGGCTGGCCTCAAACTCAAGATCTACCTGCCTCTGCCTCCCAAGTGCTGGGATTAAAGGCATATACCATCACACCTGACTACAAAAAAGTTTTAAAAGGGGACATGTGCTTTACTTACCAAAAGATGATTTCACTCATTTGTATTACCTACTTGGATTCTTGTAATCATTTGATATATAGGACTTCCACATTAGGTTGCTTGGAAAGAGCACCAAGAAAAACGAATGGGATTTGCCTTTTATTTATTCAAGGTCCATAACTTGATATAACAGCTGTTCTCCCTTTTAGGGGACTGCCTTTCTAAATTAGTATTTAAGAATAAAAGCCAAAATTTATCAGTTATTAAACATTCATCCTAAACATTCAACATGGGCATTTAGTAGCCCCTAGTTACACTGTCAGAAGTTAGATGAAAATTATCTCTGGGAGCTGGGCAGTGCCACATGCCTTTAGTCCCAGCTTGGGAAGCAGAGGCAGGAAGATCTCTGTGAGATTGCAGATAGCATGGTCTGTACAGCAAGTTCCAGGCCAGCTGGGGCTACGGGAAGATCGTCTCAAAAATAAATAACCTCTGGAATTTTTAAAAAACGGGTCCACATACCATATTCAATGAAAATGAACTGTTAGAAAATGTCCCTCACATGAGTTGAAGATTATAGTTTATTCTCTAGAGGCCACGTTCCCTATCTGAAAAGCCGAGAATTGGTTGCTAGTCTTTCAGTGTTCAATCAGTAAATCACCTAAGAGCTTGTAATTTAGGAGAGGAAAAATTAGTTACATATTATTTCCCTGTGGCATCAGGTCATTGGTTAAGGAAGTAGGGCTGGAGAGCTGTCTAAAGAATTTGAGAATCTGACAGGAATGGCAAGGAAGAGTCAAAGACAAATTTTCTTGCAATCAATTCTTATTTTCTTTATTTTTTAAATTATTTTTATCGTATGTATATGTATGTATTGCCAGCATGTGGGCAAGTGCACCCGTGTAGTACAATGCCCGCAGAAGACAGAAAAGGCTGTTGAATCCTCTGGAACTACGGACAGTTGTTAGCAGCCATGTGGGTGCTGGGATTCAAACCCGGGTCTTCTGCAGGAACGGCCACTGCTCTTAACTGTAGAGCCATCTCTGCAGCCTGCATTCATTTTTTTTCCATGTACTATTTTAGAGATATTTACAGAGGAGCTTTTTGAGAACTTTGTTTCGAACAGGTTGTAGGAAACTCAGAGTTTGCAATAATCAACTCTTTTTATACAAATGAATCCATTAGATTGTCTGCAACAATGTATTATTTTGTTATGGGTGGGCATGAAGGCTAATCTTCATTATCAGCTTTATGGGGGACTTGGCACACCTCTGGATGTGTCTGCTTTCTCTTTCTTAATTAATTGTCTATTTTTACTACTTTAAAGATGTGCCAGTCTTATTTTTTTATTTTTAGTTTATATGTATGAGTGTATTGCCTGCATGTAGGTAAGTGCACCCGTATTGTGCGGTGCTTGCCGGAGGATAGAAGAGAGCGTCGGATCCCCTGGAACTGGAGTTACGGACAGTTGTTAGCAGCCATGTGGGTGCTGGGATTCAAACCCGGGTCTTCTACAAGAACAGCCAGTGCTCTTAACCGCTGAGCCATCTCTCCAGCCCCCAATTTCTTATTTTCTTGCTTCCATTATTTGAGCTTATGTCCATCAGGATAGTCACGTGGTGAGGAAAATGCATGATTATCACATAATCATATAATTAACTTAAGATATTTACCGGTAACATTTTCAATATAAGATTTTGTGGCATCTGAATGACTTTAAACTCGGAAAATAATTTTCCACATCTGTATATCGGGGTTATCAGTTTGTACGTTGTTTAGACGATTAAATAATGCAAATGTTTGTGTTCCTCGTTAGTGTTACACAATTTCCTTAACTATGACTTGCTGGAGACAGAGATAGGACACTAATTTTTACTCAAGAAATACAGTTTAGCCGGGCGTGGTGACGCACGGCTTTAAACCCAGCACTCAGCACTCGGGAGGGTAGAGGCAGGCGGCTCTTTGTGAGTTCGAGGCCAGCCTGGTCTACATAGTGAGTTCTAGGCTAGCTGGGGCTACACGGAGACCCTGTCTCAAAAAGATCAAAACAAAACAAAACATCGTTTGTAGAACAAAGCAGTCTAGGAGAAAACGTCTTTATCCAAGACGAAGGTCCTGCAGAACCTCACACCCATCGGTCACTGTTGTTGCACGGAGTGAGTTTTCGGTTGCACGCCGGGAGGGGCTCTCCCGGGATGTAAAAGTATACTCAAACCCCCAATGCATGTTGGGAACTGTAGCTTCTTTCCTAACGGCTTGAGGCGGCCGTGATGTCATCGGTGGTCGACGAGGCAGGTCTGCACGTGGCGAGAAAGGGGCGGTGCGCGCTTGCTGTCCCCAGCCGAGCATAGCTCCCGCAGGGCGCCCTCCCGACATGCTGGAGAAGGCGGGCTTCCCGCCGGCCAAGAGATTCCGGCCAGGCTCCGCACCTCCCGGGAGGCGAGTGGTGATGCTGCTGGCTGCGGGCGGTGGTGGTGGAGCAGGAGGAGGAGGGCGGAAGCCGGCGCCGCCGCTGGCCCAGCCTTCGGCCAGTCCCTACCGCGAGGCCCTGGAGCTGCAGCGCCGGAGTCTGCCCATCTTCCAGGCGCGCGGGCAGCTGTTGGCCCAGCTCAGAAACCTGGACAGCGCCGTCCTTATTGGTGAGTGACCACGCCAACCTTGCCCTGGCTGATTTCTTGACCGGCTTGTGGGATTGAAGGGGCAAGATTCACCTTCCGTGATGGGCGGGGGGGGGGCGGCACATCGGAGGCTTTGGGAGCTTGGAGTAGTGAACCCTACCCAGGCTTTGAGGAGGGACCTGGGGTGGGGTGTGCTTATGTTCTATGCAGAGGAGAGACTGGAGACAAGAAACCGTTCTGTTAAGGTAACTTGTTTCTGATTCACGATAAGAGCTTGGCAGAATTGTAGGACAGCGACAGATTTCAAGGGGCTTTGATACACAGTGTTTAAGAGGAATGACAAGTCTGGAAGGAGCTGGAAGAGTGCTGGTTGTCAGAGGACTCTGTTTTAAGGAGGGAGTGAGTAGATAGTGAAGTCTGATGATAATATGTAGACAAAAGAAAAAAGTGCCCAGGTATTGATTAGGGTTCCAACTGAGAACTGTTTAAAAAGAGCTGTAAGAGCAGATCTAGCATTGGGCTCAGTAACTAGAAGGTAAGAGAATGAAGACATTGGGAACAGGCTTCTGCCTTAAGAGGCTAAGGAACTTGCAAGGATCCACAAGTTAAGGGGAAGAACTCAACAGAGAAAGGATGCTGAAGATGGAATAGAGCTAGTGGATCAAAGATCCGGAAGCACAGGGAAGGGGAGCTACTTGGCAACAAGGATTATTGGAGAGCTGGCCTGGGACAGCAGGAAGGCCATCTCAGAGTCTATGGACCTGGAAATAGGCATGAGTGGTGTGATGGTAAAAGCACTTGTAGGGGAAAACTTTATATGAGACAGATAGAGGAGTTCGGCTGAGAATGAAAGTCCCAGCGCCTCAAGAAAGCCCTTAGGGAGCACAGAGACAGAAGATATGCTGCAAGGACAGGAACAAGATGCATGATAGAGCTGGTGCCCAGCTGTATTTTGACCCTACATTTGCACAGTTAGCTTATTTATTTTAGCAATGGTCAGTTGCCTGGGAATAGAGGTGGGAAAGATGCACAAGATACAAGATACATTGATCCAAGTCTGGGGTTGTGCCTGGTGGATTCAACAGGAAGACTGCAGAATAATCAGATTCTTAGTTTGTGATTCCCGGCTGAGTCAGGAACCGTGAGCAGTCAGGGGGCTGATTCCTGGGGGAAAATGTAGGACCCATGGAATTGGAGAGGACTTAGGTTAAAGTACCTTATTGGGTGCTTTCTGTGCAGGGTACCCAAGTCTGTAAAGAGACAGACCTCCACCCTCTGGTATTGGAAGAAGGCAGAAACATTTAAATGTGTACTGTACAGGTTGCTGGAAGAGAGGTGAACAAGGCACTAAGGATCCCAGATGAGGGCCGCTTGTGTAGCCTTGAAGATGAGAATTTTTGGCCTAAGTCATGCTGAAACTTGCTGGTTAGTGCTAGGGCAGGTAGGTATTCTATCCATATTAGTGTGAGCAAAGGCAGAAAGTTTGAAAGATCAGTGGCCAGGGAATAGTGAGGAGTGTATAAGTGGACATCTCTTCACGTCAGTACATACCATCTACGTGATTGTCATATTTCATTCTATCTTGTAATATACAAATTACCCATTAACACATTTCCAATTTTTTGCCATCATGTGGCAAACTGAATAAAACATCTTTGTTTCCTTAGAATCCATTCCTACAAGTAGAATTGTGAACTAAGTTGTATAAACATAAAAGCTTTTGAAATGTAGTTTGGCCTCCTGAGAAAGAGCAGCAATGAATATTGTTTAGCAATGTACATGAGTGTCCATTCTCTTGACTTTGAGCTGTTTATTTGGTGAACTTATGTCTATCTTCATTTAAAAAGACTTTTTCTTTCCCAGGGGAAACTGGTTCTGGAAAGACAACTCAGATCCCACAGTACCTCTATGAAGCGGGAATTAGCCGCCAGGGCATCATTGCTGTGACCCAGCCACGTCGAGTAGCTGCCATCTCCCTTGCTACTCGAGTCTCAGATGAGAAGAGGACTGAACTTGGGAAGCTGGTATCTCATTTCCTTCTTTGCCATCAAGGCTTCATCACTAACCAGCACCCCACACTGTGCCCTTGCCCTTGCCTTTCTTTCTTTCTTTTTTTTTTTGAGACAGGTCTTATATGTATAGGGATATGTAGGCATCATGAAACTCACTATGTAGACCAGACTGGTCTCAAACTTACAGAGTCGGACCTGCCTCTGCCTCCTGAGTGTTGGGATTAAAGATAAGTACCACCACTCCCTTCTGCCTTTTATTTTTGTGAACAAATCTTCTTTCTTTCTCTGGTTGGTTTGTTGTTTCAGAGTCTCTCTATATAGACTGATACTCTCTATCCTTCTACCTCAGCCTCCTGAGTGCTGGGATTATAGGATGTGCCACAAAACCCAGCTGAAGACTTTTATATATGAACTTCTTTCTTACCACTGCTATTTAGGCTAATCTCAGAATTCTTCCCCAGTCCCAGAGAGATCAGGGCTTTAATAGACTCCGAGTCCTGTTTGCTTTGCTTCCAAAATGGTTTGCAAGTTAGATAATTTACATGTGAGTTTTCTTATTTAGTCTTTTTTGGGGGGACAGGGGGATGATGCTAGAGACTGAACCCAAGGCCTCATGAAGGCTAGGCAGACTCTGCCACTGAACTGCACTCTTTGCCCCTAAATTAGGTGTTTGCCTTGGGTCCCATTAAGGCTTCAGAATCATCTCTTTGTTTACTTGTTTGGTTGGTTGGTTTGGCTTTTTCAGACAAGATCTCAGTGTAGCCCTGGCTCACTTGGAACTTACCATGTAGATCAGGGCTAGCTTGAACTTGTGGCAGTCCTCCTGCCTCTGCTTTGTGAGTGCTAGGATTACAAGCCTGGCCAGAAGCTTTATTTATTTATTTATTTATTTATTTATTTATTTATTTTTGAGATAGGGTCTTATATTGTCATTCTCACTGGCCTATAACTTGCTATGTAGGCCAGGCTGGCCTTGAACTCACAGAGATCCGCCTGCCTCAGCCTTCCAAATACTTTTACTGAGCCATCTGGCCAGCTGTAGTTTTTAAGTCTTTGTAATGCTTGGTTTTGTTGCAATCAAAGAGGAGTCTTCAATGTTTCTGACCCTAGCTAGACTACACACTCTCTGAGGGAATGGGCAGAGTGGTGTTGGTCCTGTTTACTGTGTCAGCACAGTGCCTAGGGCAGTGCTGGATACACAGTGAATAGATGCTCAACAAATGTTAACTGAATAAAGGAGTCACATCTTCACACAGGTGGGCTATACAGTACGCTTTGAGGATGTCACCTCAGAAGACACCAGGATCAAATTCCTAACGGATGGCATGCTTCTGCGTGAAGCCATTTCAGACTCCCTGCTTCGGAAGTATAGCTGTGTCATTTTGGATGAAGCCCATGAGCGGACTATCCACACAGATGTACTCTTTGGAGTGGTGAAAACTGCGCAGAAGAGACGAAAGGAGCTAGGGAAACTGCCTATCAAAGTATGTGTAGTGCCTGCCTTTCTTTCCCAGGGCATTTTCCCCTATCCATTCTGCTTCAAGAGCATAGGAGAAAGTTAGCCATGGTGGGTGTGGCACAGGCCTCAATCATGTGCTCTACAGAAAGGCTGTCTGGTGTTTGTTTCCCATGCTCCTCCTCTTCATTCTTTTATATAGGTGATTGTGATGTCAGCTACAATGGATGTGGACCTGTTTTCTCAGTATTTCAACAGAGCCCCAGTCCTCTACCTGGAGGGTCGGCAGCATCCAATCCAGATTTTCTATACCAAACAGCCTCAGCACGATTACCTGCACGCAGCTCTTGTCTCCGTCTTCCAGATCCACCAGGTAGGGATGGGGGTGAAAATTCCTAGAGGTTCTGTTTCGTCTTGCAGTGAGGAGTAAGAGTATTCAGCCTCTAAAAGAAAAGCCACTGGATCAAACAACTTTGTGAGCTGTGTTGTCAAGAATGAGTTCATTTGAGCTAGATATGGTGGCACATGCTTTTAATCCCAGCACTCAAGAGGAAGAGGCTGTCAGATATCTGAGTTTAAGGACATCCTGGTCTACATAGTGAGCTATAAGCCAAGGCTATGTAGTGAGACCCTGTCTCAGAAGAAAAAGAGCAGAGGACTCAGTTCTATTTTTAAAGAATAAGTTCATTTGCAGGTCAGTAAGTTGGCTAGCAGGTAAAGGTACTTGCCATTGAACTTGATGACCTTAGTTCAATCCCTGTGACCCACGTGGTAGAAGGAGAGAACCAATTCCCACAAGTTTTCCTGTGACCTTTACACATGTGCTGTAGCATGTGCATGCGCGCGCACACACACACACACACACACACACACACACATGTAATAAAATAATCTAAAATAATAGGCTCATTTGTCATGTCTAGGCTTTTGCCTCCCTTTTTTTTCTTTTGGTCTTTCTGAGACAGGGTCTTCCTGTAGCCTCAGCTGTCCTGGAACTCACTGTGTAGACCAGGCTGGCCTTGAACACACAGAGATCCACCTGCCTCAGCCTCCCGAGTGCTGGAATTAAAGGCGTGTGCCACCATGCCCGGCTTTGCCCCATTTTTATACTTCTTATTTTCTCTGAAAAAAATAAATCAACTGTAGTCAGTATTCAGAAAACTTCCCTATGTTAGAGCAGTAGCTTATGTACTTTTTCTTATATCATAACCCCTGGGAAGAACAGACACACACACACACACACACACACACACACACACACACACACACACACACACACACACACACACACAAAACCCAGGCTGACTTGAACTTGCCATCCTTCTGCCCAGGCCTCTTGAGTGCTAGAATTAGAGGCATGTGCCACCATACTTGGCCTAGCTTTTTTTTTTTTAACTTTTACAGAAATATTTCAAAATCTTTTTATGTTGTTTACATTTATATTTGCATGATTAGGGGCTAGGGAGGTGGCTCAGTGGATAAACTGTTTACCATAGAAGTGTGAAAATCTGAGTTTCGATCCCCAACACCCACACACAAAATCATGTGTGGCAGGGTGCACCTGTCATCCCCATGGGTGGAGGGGTGAATATAGGTTACAAACCCTGGGGTTTGCTGGCCAGCTATTTTAGACAGTATGTGAGCTTCAGATTCGTGAGAGATCCTGTCTCAAAAAATAAGGTGGAAGGGCTGGAGAGATGGCTCAGTGGTTAAGAGCACTGACTGATCTTGCAGAGGACCTGGGTTCAAGTCCTAGCACCTACATGGCAGCTAACAGCTGTTCATAACTCCAATTCTTGGAAATCCAACGTCTTCTGACCTCCGTGGGCATTACATGACACGGGTGCACAAACACACATGCAGGCAATACACTCATACACATAAAATAAAAATAATTAAAAAAAATTAAAAAATAAGGTGGAGTGTGATAGAGGAAGATGCCCATTGTCAATCCCTACCCCCCACATGAACATATACACACAGAAAAAATTTTTTTTGATTGATTAAATCCCAGCATTTTTGTTCGATTTGTATAGAAATAGACTTTATTTATGTTTATTTTCTAAGAAAATCTAGAGGCAAATATTTTTAATTTTAAACTAAGTAGTTTATGTAGTTTAAAGTTTTAAAAAGTCAAGGAGTTAGCTGGGTGTGGTGGTGCATGCCTTTAATTTTAGCACTTAGGAGGCACAGGCAGGTGGATCTCTGAGATTCTGACCTACATAGCAAGTTCTAGGCCAGTAAGGGCTACAGGGAGACCCTGTCTCAAAACAAAAATACAAAACATAAAAACCCCCAGAAGTCAAGGAGTTGGTCTGGGTTAGGGTTAGGGTCAGCATAGCCAGACCATAAATCCAGCATCAGTAACTATAATATTAGGAACATACATTGTTAGCAAGCTGCTGTCCCCATTCTTGGTTTCTTGAACATAAGTCTTTGACATAGCTGTGGCTCATTTCCCCCCAGATGTTACAGTGTGTCTCATATGGCAGCCATGGAATTAGTTGTGTTCAAACACAGTCTACCTCTCTGGGGCCATTTGTGCTACCATCCATCCAGCTGGAGCAGGTTGCTATGCTGGGCCTCTGGGCAGCTGTCATCTTATTTCCCCTCACTGTTGTGTAGTGAAGCCCACTCTGGCCTCCCCGTGCTTTCAGCCTGGCCACACTGGGTGGAGGAGGAAGCCTGATGGGGTTAACAAGGCTGTGCTGACTTTGAGCCAAACTCTGGGTTTTCCTTCTCCAGTCTACCTTGCTCCCCTAAGTCCTGAGCCTTTCTGGATCTTCATGGAAATTAACCCATCCGTTGTCACTTCAAAGTTTGTTTTGTGGTACTGGGGATTGAACCCAGTGCCTTGCCCATGTTAGATGAGTACTCTACCACTGAGCCATGTTCCTAGCCCCCGACCCCCAATCTCAGTAAGTGTACCCTAACCAACCTCCCCTTTGTCTTCCACTTTTCAAAACTGAGTTGAACCTTCTTGTCTCCCATTATCTTTGTCATTTGGGACAATTATTTTTACTGCCAATTTGACAATATTTGAGAAAGAAGAAAAGGCCATTCTGCCTTTTTTATAAATTGAATTTTTATGATTTTTCATACAATATAGTTTAATGGCCTTTGGATCTACGTGCCTTGCCACACACCTCCCCCCGCTGTCCCCCTCCCAATTTAATGAACCCTCATATATATAATATGGCCTATAGAGTATGATTTATGTCCCCCAGTGTCATTTGGTGTGGATCCATTCACTGGGCCACCAAGAGTCCCAACCCCGTAAGACACTATCTCCCTTCCCAGCAATCATCAATTGCCAAAATTCCTTAGATTGGATTGGGATTTCTTACTTCCCCTTATCTATGCTGGGATTTTGTCTAGTTTGAGCTTACATAGGACTTGTGCGTGCTGTCACCATTGCTGTGAGTTCATATGAGTAACTGACCAGCTGTCTGGAAAACTGTTTCTTATAGTCATCTACCTACTCTAGCTCTTAATATTTCTACCTCTTCTTCCCCAGTGATCCCTGAGCCTTGGGAGGCAGAGGTTTGAAATAGCTGTCCTATTCAGGGATAAACACCCTGTGACCTTTTATTCTCTGCGCATTGGCCAATTGTGGGTTTCTGTGTTAATCACCATCTGCTACATAAGGAAACTTCTCTGGTGAGAGTTAAAGAATGCATTCATCTAAGTGAGGTTGCATTGAAGATGTGTCACTGAAGGTTAAGTATCTCACAGACACTTAATTCTCTGTGTTTGACCATTTCTGGAATATAATATGCTCTACCTTTTTTAACTGCTAAAAGCCAGCATGAGATGAGAATTTTTTTAGAATTTAAATTTTCAATGTGTGTTTGTATGATATCTGTATCAGGGGAAAGGACAACTTTGTGGAGTTAGTTCTTTCCTCCATTTATAGGGGTTCTGGGATCAAACTCAGGTTGCCAAGCTTGTGCAGCAAGCACCTTTACCCTATGAGCCATCTCACTAGCCCCAAATGAGAATTTTTTAATGAAGGATGGCTGTGTTACATTCAGGTAGAACTGATGAATTCTACTGATTAAGGGCAGTTCTTATTAAGATAGGGTCTCATTTTGTAGCCCAGGCTGGTCTTGATCTCACAATCCTACTGCCTCAGCCTCCTGAGTGTTAGGATTATAAGTGAGCTACCAGGTCCAATCTGATGAAGTTTTGACTCTTTCAGATTTTATATAACTGAACATTTGTCCTGTTAGGATAGGCTCAAAAAACATACTCAGGCTGGAGAGATGGCTTAGCAGTTAAGAGTGCTTTTGCAGAGGACCCAAGTTTAATTCCCAACACCTATATCTGGTGACTCACAGTCACCTATAACTCCAGTTCCAGGGGATCTGATGCCCTCTTCTGGCCTCTGCAGGCACTGCACTCAGGTACACAAACCCACACTCACACACATACATAATTCAAAAATAAAAATAAATTATTTTTTAAATACACACATATAGGGGTTTGGGATTTAGCTCAGTGGTAGAGCGCTTGCCTAGCAAGCACAAGGCCTTGGGTTCGGTCCTCAGCTCCAAGGGAAAAAAAAAATACATATAAATATATAAACATATGTATATACTAAACTATAAAGCTGTCCTTTGGTGTACATGAGGAAGAGGTTCCAGGACCACCTTAGATACCAAACTCTAAGGATGCTCAAGTCTGTTGTAGAAAATGTATTTGTATAGAACCTGCATACATCGTCCCACATAAGTAATCTATAGATCACTTATAATACCTAACACAACTTATGTACTGTGTAAATAGGTATGATACCTTGTTGTTCCGGGAATAATGATAAGAAAGCAAGTCTGTATATATGTGTAGTTTTAAAACATTTGGGATCTGCAGTTGGTTGAGTGGATATGAAATCTAAAGATGTAAGAGGCCAACTGTGTGTGCACAAATGTACACAGTTACTGCTAAACATGTTTCAGTTATTTTGCCATCAAGCAGTTTATAAATTAATCTGTCTGAATAGCTATCAAAGAAATATGAGGCAAATGAGATATGTCATTAACACTTGGATATTGTTCCTTTTGAAGGTGAAAACCTCAGTTAACCTGTGTCCCAAGCTGTTGTGGCGTATGCTTGCAGGTATGCAGAAGTGCTTTTAGTGGCCCCACTGAGTAAGGGCTCCATGGCTGGCATGACTCCTGCTCGTTCCATGGATTGCAGTTTCCCTGAGTTGTCTTCTCTGCTTTTATCAGTTTGTTTCCAAGATGCCGCTGAAAGGACAGAAGGGCTGGGGAGATGGCTCAGTGGGTAAAAGTGCTTGCTATGACAGCATTTGGACCTGAGTTTGACTCCCCAGCACCCATGTAAAAAGCCAGGCATGACTGCATGCCTAAAACCTCAGCACTGGAGGGCAGAGACAGCCAGAACCTGGGTACCCACTGGCCAGCCAGCCCAGGGAAATGCAAGTGTCCAGTTTAGTGAGAGGCTCTGTCTAACAGCTAAATGGTGGAGAATGATAGAGGAAGACACCTGACGTCTTCCTTTTGTCTCCACATACACACACACGAGCACACCACATACTCCCATACATTCATACACACACACACACACACACACACACACACACACAAGAAAAAAGGAAAGAAACCTTAAAAAAATTTTTTTAATGGGCTGGAGAGATGGCTCAGCAGTTAAGAGCACTAGCTGTTCTTGCAAAAGACCCAGGTTTGAATCCCAGCACCCACATGGCAGCTAATAGCCATCCATAACTTCAGTTCTAAGGGATCCAACACCCTCTTCTGTTCTCTGCGGGCATTGCACAACACGGGTGCACTTACAACATGCAGGCATAACACTCATACGCATAAAAGAATAATAAAAATAATAAATAAAAAATTTTTTTAATTTACATTTATTTGTGTATGTTTGTGTGGGCACATCCATGCCTCGGTGCACATGTGGAGGTTAGAACAACCTGAGGGAGTCAGTTCCCTCCCTTTACTATGTGGTTTTGGGGATCTGACTTAGGTCATCAGCCTCAGCAACAAGCTCCTTTGCCTGGTGAGCCATTTCACCAGCCTGAAACAAATTTTATACAGATTTTATTTGCCTATCTGATTAGGTTTTTTCATTGCATTGCTCTTACAAAAACAGTCTTTTCCTTCACAACTTCTTACTTGGTTTCAAAACAGCTGGCTGACTCTCATCTGTTAAAGTTCTGCACATTGCCGGTAAGGATTTTCTCCCAGGAAGATACCAATATTCAGACTCCGTTCCATCTTCAGAGTTCAAAAACAAAACAACACTCCCCCCCACAAAAAAAAAAAAAAAACTCTTGGAAGCAAAAGGGTTTTTGTTGTTTCTTTTTCTGTTTTACAGGAAGCCCCCTCTTCTCAAGACATCTTGGTGTTCCTCACTGGTCAGGAGGAGATTGAAGCAATGAGCAAGACCTGCCGAGACATTGCAAAGCACCTCCCGGACGGCTGCCCTGCAATGCTCGTCCTTCCTCTCTATGCCTCCTTGCCCTATGCACAGCAGCTCCGAGTCTTTCAAGGGGCCCCAAAGGTGAGTGTGCCACCTCTTCTGTCCAGTCCATCATTGGCCATTAAGTCAGACCCAGTGGATCTGTATGCCTGTCACCATGCTGCAGATGAGGTAGAAGGAGAGGATACTCAGGTACCAGGTCAGCTCGTTGAAAAGGGAGCAGGTACGTAGTACACAGTTGCCAAGAAAGCTGTCCTGTGAGAAGGAAAGGCACCAGTCAGGGGATGAGGAAGAGTGCAAGGGCAGAGGCTGAAGAGTAAATGAGTGGCTCTTCTGAGGGATAGTATAAGCCATACTCCACAGTACCATCTGTTGTGTGCCTTTGTATCCCATTCACAGTGCTGACACTCACATATACCATCTTTCATCCTCATGGAGTGCCATGGGGGATATAGGCCCCCAAGAGAGGGGAAGCAGGACTTGCTTAAGGGGCACTTAGTAAGGAATTGGCAGGGCCAGAATTTCAACTCACATCTGCCTGTTTGTGAACCCTTTGCTTGTTCCATTGCATCATCGTCTCAAATGAACCTTTAGGACCACAGTAGCATCCCTTTCCCCTTTGTTCCTCAAGTTTATGACCAAAATTCATAGGACTGCTGTTAAGAATGAAGTCATCTTTCTTGATCATTAATAAGTGGTGGAAATTAATGGTAAGAATATGTTTGTACGTTTCTGAAACTTATGTGTGTCATCTGGCTTTTTGGTTTTCTTTCTCCTTTTAGGGCTATCGCAAAGTGATCATTTCAACCAACATTGCTGAAACCTCCATAACCATTACAGGAATAAAATATGTAGTTGACACGGGCATGGTTAAAGCAAAGAAGTACAACCCTGGTGAGAATTTGTAGCTCATGAACCTCTGCTATGTATAATGAGCCACAGTTGAAACTGTAGCCCCACAATTTCCCCCCCAAGTGAACATTGCATATTTGTAAGGAGCTGAGATTTGAGTGGCAGGGACCATAAGTGAGACAGATCCAGTGTGCCCAAACAGGAGACCTGCAGCAGATAGGTAAGACATGGAGTCAAGAGGGAAGAAGAGTTCAGTTGAGGCAAACCTGGGAAGAGATCAGCCCTGGGCAGAGGGTTGGTGAGCCCATAGGAAGCTGGGTGAGAATGATGGCACAAAGGCCAGGGATGGTCTGATACCAATCACAGGCTCTCAGGGAGGTGATAGGGAGTGTGGCTGATAAGGATCTCGAGTTTCCCAGGAAGGAGACAGGTGCTGGGCTAGGGTAAGGCACAGCGGGTGAAGTACCAGCAGTTTGCTATGAGTCTAAAGTGGGAAGCTTGCTTACTGTCATTTTTACTCATTTCTGTTTTGTACCTTGCTTTATCCTACAGAGGTTTTGAGGCAGCTGCAGTTACTACTGCTGACTAGTATTTAGCTTGTTCTACTAAGCAGGGGAGGGGAAGACTTTCATACTTGTATCTCCTAAGGACAGTATCTATGACAGAGTGTGGGTCTCCACTGACTGGCACAGAATGTGCCCCCACTGAGAAAGTTAATGTCCTTCATTCCTAGGAAACTAACATCACATGATCTGTTTTCTCATAGAACTCGGAGAGAAGACAGTGACTTGAGGCATTTGCTTTGTCATCATTGATTGATGTATGACAAACCTTTCTAATTTGCTAGAAACTGTCCCAGTGTTAGCATCAAAGTCCCAAGAAACTGTAAGGGAAACTGGGGTAGTTGGCTCTGACATAAGCTAAGATCTTTTAAATCACTCTTGTCGCCCCTTGCTATAACCATGAGGCTTTTCTGATGTTTTTGTAACCGACCCCACATGTGGCTCATTGCTGGGCTCGGTTTCACTGTAATCTTAAACCACTGCTGAACAGCCTGATTTTAGACGGTCTCCTTTAGCCTTGAATTTTTCTGGACCCCTGTGCATAGAAACACTTGTAATCTGAGCATCATCTTTCTTTGCCAGCGCTCTAGAAACAGTTTGCTATATAGTAAGCAAAACTCTCATGGGGCCCATTCTCCCTCCAGACAGTGGACTTGAGGTACTAGCTGTGCAGCGGGTATCAAAGACCCAGGCCTGGCAGCGCACAGGAAGGGCTGGCAGAGAGGACAGTGGTGTCTGCTACCGGCTCTACACTGAGGAGGAATTTGAGAAGTTTGAGAAGATGACTGTGCCAGAGATCCAAAGGTAGACCCATCAGTACCTGCCCTCCTGTCACCCATTGTGATCTCTCCTTCCTGTTTGCTCCTGTTTTCAGAGCTGCAGTATTTGCTAATGCTCTGCAGTGAGCAGTTCTTACTCAATGGCGTGGGAGTCAGGGATAGATGTATGACCCGTGCTTCTCCCTTCACAGGTGTAACCTGGCAAGTGTGATACTTCAGCTCCTGGCAATGAAAGTCCCCAGTGTGCTCACCTTTGATTTCATATCCAAACCATCTCCAGGTAAGTGGAGTCCTGAGTGCTGGGAAGTGGACAGGTAGACAACAGCAAACACTCGTTCCTTAAAAAAAAGTATTTTGGAGAAAAAATGTATATGTCATCTCCTTTTGCTTATTTGATTTTATCTGTCATAAAGTGGTAGACTGCTATAGCACCATCGTACAGAGACCCATAGTCAGGGGCCTTGACATCTGGAGCCAATTACAGTTATTGGAGATCCATGGGGTACTACTGCCAGAACCTCATGGAGGTGTACTTTCATCAGCAGCATGACAGAGATCAGATTTCTTTGTATTAAACTGGAATGTGACAGTCCCTGCCCCACCCTTCATTGGCAATCTCTCTGTGGAGTAGGAAGGAAAGAAAACTGGTACTCTTAAATGTGGTAGCTTTGACACCTGGAACTTTATCACCCTACCATATTTCCTTTTTGTTTGTTTGTTATAAGGGTATTTTTGTTGTTGTTGTTTTGTTGTTGTTGTTGTTGTTTTTGTGTGTGGTGGTGGTGGTAGTGGTAGTGGTGGGTTTTTTTTGAGACAGAGTCTCTCTAGCCCCAGCTGGCCTAGAACTCACTATGTAGACCAGGCTGGACTTGATCTCAGAGCTCTACCGGCCTCAGCTTCCCGAGTGCTGGCCATTTTCCTTTTCTTTAAGTAAAGAAATGCAATTGTCTAAAGATAAATTAAACCATGGATGGATAGCCAAGGTCCCACCCTGAACCTCAGTTCAGTTTTTTCCACAATCATTTTCTAGCTATCTTTTACATAAAAATTTACATATGTAGGACTACATGAAGTCTTTTTTAAAAATTCAAATGGCAGCACATATGATGCACTGTTCTGCTCTTGATTTTTTAATTGTGAAGTTCCTAGAAGGGAATAATAAAAGTAAGGTCTAAGGGGTAATATAGCCAGAAGCTGTGTACTGCTACCTAAGCTCAGAAAGCAGAGCCCCAGGGCCCTACCTGGCTGCCTTTGTCCCCTTCCCACTCCTTCAGGTAACTATTCTCCCTTGATTCATACTTCTCCTGCTCTTTGGTTCTATCATTAATGCTTGGGGAAGTATGTCGGGGACAGGGATGAGTGGTCTTTATGGTTATTTGATGTAGAGTTATAAGCACCCAGAAGTATTAAACTAGCTGCAACTTCTTCCTTTTTTGGACTTTGGGCTCCTTTTTATGTCTCTGTTTCTGTAGATCACATTCAGGCGGCCATTGCCCAGCTGGACCTGTTAGGTGCTCTTGAACATAAGGATGACCAGCTTACCCTGACTCCAATTGGAAGAAAGATGGCAGCATTTCCTTTAGAGCCCAAATTTGCCAAAGTAAATGACCCCTCAGTCCCCCTCCTCCTCAGTCTCCTTTCTTTGTGTTACAGGTTAGCAATGCCTATACCCAGTCCTTCTCCACTCACCCATTTGTTCTCTTAAATACAAAATTATCACCCTACTTTGTGTATAATGCTGATTTATATTGTGTGGGGGATTCAAAGACAAGTCGCAGCCCTGTCCATAGGGATTGGAATCCCAGGGACAGCATTCTGTTTTACAAAGTAAAAGACATTGACATCCAATACCTGCACTTTAACTCAAAGGGACACTGCAAGAGAACATACAGAAATAGTATATTCAGAATCCAGGAAAAACTTGATTTCTGCATTTTTAAACTTTGATTTTCAGACTATCCTCCTGTCCTCCAAGTTCCACTGTACAGAGGAGATCCTAACCATTGTTTCCCTACTGTCCGTGGACAGTGTTCTCTACAACCCTCCTGCCCGACGGGATGAAGTGCACAGCGTCCGCAAGAAATTCATATCCAGTGAGGGGGATCACATTACCCTGCTCAACATCTACCGGACCTTCAAAAACATAGGTGGAAATAAGGTGAGCCTCATTGGTGTTCTTTCAGGCCTGTGTTTTTAAGTGCTCCTTCCTTCTTTGGCCAATTAAGAGTGCAGGTGTCATTTCAGTCTGAGTACTGGGAGATCACTGAGAAAGAAAGGTAATGTTGGGGCTGGAGAGATGGCTCAGTGGTTAAGAATACTGACTGTTCTTACAGAAGACTCTAGTTTGAATCCCAGCACCCACATGGCAGCTAACAACTGTCTGTAACTGCCAGGAGATCTGAGGGCCTCTTCTGCCCTCCACGGGTATTGTATGACATGAGTGCACTTACATACAGGCAATACACTCATACACATAAAAGAAAAAAATATATTTTTTTAAAAAAAGATAACGCAAGCCTTTCTTCTGCCTGTGTTTAACATAGACTTGATGAGGACAACTTAGGTAATTGATGACTCAGTGTCTTAGCCGTTATAATTAGTCTGTTTTTCATTACTGTAAGGAAGTATCTGAGACAAGCCATTTTATATAGAAAAGAGATTCATTTTGGCCCATGTTCTGGAGTTGCAGGACTTAAGCCTTATACGGTGCTTACCAAGTTGCCAAATCCTCTAGTATTTTAGACGTTTCCATTTCCACCATCCTCTCCAGCTTTTAGTTGAAATAAATTCAGTTTTGACCATTTGGTTGTGAAATATTATCTCAATTATTGTAAATCTCATTGTCATTGCCACGATCCCTCAGGAGATCAAGCATAAGTTTACTAGGCATTTGTATTTCTTAGGTCTACTTTTTTTCCTGGATTGCTGGTCTTTTTCTCATTCTGTGTAAAATGTATCCTAGAGATACTAATCTTTTAGAGGAATAGTGGCACAAATATCCCAGCCTATAGCTTTTCTCATGGTGATCTAAAAGAAGGGAATTTTGAAGTTTTACTTTTAAGTTAAATCATTCATATTTTCACTATGGTTCATACTTTTTGATATGAAAGTATTTTCCTCTATTCCTTTTGACACTTAAAAAATGTCCCCTGAATTCAACTGTGATTTCTGAGAGGATTGTGATACCCTTTTTCTCTTCTTTAGGACTGGTGCAAAGAGAATTTTGTCAACAGCAAGAATATGATGCTAGTGGCTGAAGTCAGAGCACAGCTGAGAGAAATCTGCCTAAAGGTAGCGTCTTTTGTTGTCTAGGGAAATTTTTTATTTTATTTTGGGAGGTTAAATTGCTTATTACTAATGATTCTCAAAGGAGTCCTCACTGTAGACTTTTCTTTTCTTTTCTTTTCTTTTCTTTTCTTTTCTTTTCTTTTCTTTCTTTCTTTTCTTTCTTTCTTTTGTGACAGGGTCTCACTGTGTAGTCCTGGCTGACCGGGAACTCTAGACCAGGTCAAATTCACAAAGATCTGCATGCCTCTGCTTCCTAGGCACTGGGATCAGAGGCATGTGCCACCATAGAAAAATTTTTAAATAAGCAAGAAAGTAAAACTTATCCATAATTTTACCTCTCACTATTTTGGTCAATTCCTAGTAGAAATAGGGTTTTTTGCTTTTCTTTTTCCTTTTTTTTTTGTCTTTTTGAGACAGGGTCTCCCTGTAGCCCCAGCTGTCCTGGAACTCATTATGTAGACCAGGCTGGGCTTGAACTCACAGAGATCCGCCTGCCTCTGCCTCCCGAGTGCTGAGATTAAAGGTGTGTGCCACCATGTGTGCTCTTTTTCCTTTTTAAGTGCTGGTAATTGCCAGGGCTTCACACCTACTAGACAAGTGCTCTGCCAGTGAGCTGAATCTCAGCCATATATTTTATTTTTTACATTTTTTATAGTTACATTGTATATACGATTTATATTCGGTTTTATAAACCTCTTTTTCTGTGCTAGGGATGGAACTCTGGGCCTCATGCCTAAGTTTTATAAACTTAATCATCATTTTCTGATTTAAAAAATACTACTAGAAGTATAATAAAAGAAAGAACAAAGGCACACAAGAGAGGCAAACAGAGTATTAGAGCAGCTTCTTTGTGTTTGAAACTTGGAGCCTGCCAGGTCTATGTGGGGTGAGGATCAAATGAACTTCTGGGCTCCTGTTTTTCTATGATTTATGTTGGTGCTGAGCCCATATTAGACAAGTGTCCCATGTATGCCAAAGCTGTTTTCAATTTAGTAGCTTCCTTTTTTCATGTAGCAGAGCCCTCTGCTGGCTACACTTAGCTTTATAGTCTTTGGGTCTAGCAGGTTCCCCCACCCTTCAGAGACTCCCTAGTCCACACACCCGGGGATAGCTACTTTTCTAGCTAGGGAATTTCCCTCAAGTGTGTTGGAAGTCAGGGAAGCAACCACATCACTGAGATCGGAAGAATCCGTATCTGTATTTACATGTTATGCCAAGTCTCAAACACTCTGCTGGAGGGATGCAGATGTCATGTATATGCAGATGTCATGTCTACTGGAGGAATGTCATGTGTCATGTATATAGACTGTTGGCATGTCAGAGTTCTCAGTCTCTATCAGTCAACCTCATGGCACCTAAGTGAATCCAGTGGCCTCAGGTTCAGGTCTGTCAGACTCCAAAGTTACTCTCAGGTAATGAAGTATCCTAGCCACTGAGGACAGGGTTACTTCCTCTGTACACTTCACTGCCTGAGAACAGTCTCCTATCAACCTGTACTTTTAGCATCCATACCCCCTACCACCACCACAGCTGCCCTCCTCTGCAATCTCACCCTGGGGCTGTGGCAGGTTGGCTTCAGGCTTCCTGACTTAGGATCAGTACTTATTCCTCAAGCCTCCAGAGTAGCTTGTTTTTAAGCAGTAGCTTTCCTGTGAAGGCACCTGGCTACAGCTCTCCTAGCCAAGGAAAATGACAGTGGAATTCCTGTCCTCTGCTGACCCATCTCACTGGAAAAATCATTCTCACCAAAACTTACAACTGGATTTGAGGCTTGTGAGAGCTTACAGCTTGTCTTGTGGGTGGGATTACCAGTCTCTCTTCATCAGGGCACACTGGTGAGCTGCAGGTGGCTGGAGCTGTGTGTGGCTTACTTCTCTTCACCAAGTCACCTTTCTGTTTCTCATTACTTGTTAGCTGTCCTGTCACGTGGTGAATCAATCAATCAATCTCTCTCTCTCTCTCTCTCTCTCTCTCTCTCTCTCTCTCTCTCTTTGGAATAGTCTGTTCTCCTTATCCTGTTCTTGTCAGACGGAGACAGCTTCTAGTCATATTGAATGGTTTAATGGCACTCCACATTTTACATGAGAGGCGGAGAATTGTGTATGTGAGCCTTCTCCTTTTGCTGAGCACTGAGATGAGCATGTCTGTGGTGAATGGTTTTGTGTGGAAGGCATCTTTCATTTGTTAGTGTCCCAGTGCAAATAGTGCCACACTTTGAAGGGACAGTTATGACCTCTAACCAGGTCAGTGATAGCACTAGAGCGATTTTTTTCTCTTAGTGGCCTCTTGTAGTCTGTACTTTAGACAAATCTGATTTGAACAACCACTCTTTCCTGTCTGTTTCTTGCTTCATGAGTTTTCTCAATCCTGGTGGAATGGTGTGTCTCTTGGTTCTGAACAGTGGCCAAGGATGCCTGTCTGTATGCCTGGCATTGATTAAGGTTCTCAGTGCAGACTTGCCCAAGACTGTCTAGAGTACAAGGAAGAGTAATGATTATAATCACTACCACTTATGAGACATTCAGGAGCTCTTCTAGACACTTTTCATGGAATTGCTTTATTTAAAAATCCTCATTTTGCCAGGCGTGGTGTTGCACGCCTTTAATCCCAGTACTTGGGAGGCAGAGGCAGGCGGATCTCTGTGAGTTCAAGGCCAGCCTGGTCTACATAGTGAGTTCCAGGACAGCTGGGGCTACAGGGAGCCCCTGTCTCAAAAAGACCAAAAAAAAAAAAAAAAAAAAAATCCTCATTTCACCAGTTAAGGGCAGTCCTGTTGTTATTCTCATTTTACAAATGATGAAACTATGCTTAATCCAGTCAATAATTAATTCAGTCTGTGAAGGGTGGAGCTGGCAGAGTGGAAAGAAAGCTTGTCATCTAGTCTGTGGGGCTTCCTGGTGACAGCTGATGCAAGCCATTGAACCCAGGACCTTGAGCATGCTAGACAAGTGTCCTACTTCTGAACTACACCCCAGGCTTCGGTTGAACTCTGTCTTGGTAGATGAGTTAAAGGCAAGGAATAGCTAGCTGATTGCTGAAACCAATAGCCCTGGAGCCATTATAAAGTAAAAAATGGGATTTTTCAAAGAATAAAGAGGTATTTCTTGGAACCTATAGGCAGAAGATAAAGACATGCCCCACATGGTACTGGATAAGGACCCAGAAAAGACCACCTGGGGACTCACTGCTCCTCTTGTCCCTGCTCCTCTCCACATACTTCCCTCCCTCCTCACCTTCCATCTCCACATGCAAAAGATTGCTTGTCATGGTATTTACTACACTATTCCTGGGGAGATATGAACAAATATATACTCACCCTAAATAGAGAACTGACAACACACCAAAGTAAGGATACCACTCAAGTCCAGCTTGGTGAACCAGTGAGTTTAATTAAGGTTACTTATAGGAGCAGAAATGACTCAAAAACACCAGCATCCCAAAAGCCCACCCATCATAGGTGACAACGCAGGAAAGCAGGAAACCTGGAGCACACTGCACAACCTGCAGGCAGCTGGACTGGTTGAATAAGAATGTCTTCCAGGCAGCTCAGCTGGTCTCTGCTTCTTGGAGGCAGCTCAGCTGGTGTGAGAGGTCTATCCCCAGTCCTTAGGGCCTGTATATGCTTGGGGAGGAGGCCTCCTAGTCAATCTGGTCAGTTTCCTGCTCTTTTTGAAGCTGTTGTTTACATTGGAATTTAAGAGCTTCCTAGCAGGATGGAGCTTCCTAGCAGGATGGAATGTTTCACTTCTCCTCAGAACATCCTCCTTCTTAACAGACTTCTCTCCATAGGAAATTGCTACACAGTATATAGTCTCTTCACTCAGGAGCCTAGCATTAACTGGTTGAAGTTCCCATTTCAGACCTAGGGACTGCAGGAGAAACATTTAGGCTTGGCTGCATAGGTCCAGCAAACATGCATCACTGATCTGTTGGGCTGTGGTCAGCAATGTAAGGGTTCATAACCTACTCAGCAAGGGTGTAGAACCAGGGCACTGACTGACAACTGGCATCCCACTACAGAGATGAAGCTGGCATGCCTGCTAAAATCAGCACATGCAGAGACCTTAAGATGGGAAGCACTTGATAGGTTTGTGAAAGAGGAGGGAGTCAATTATGGAAGGCCTGCACAAAGGGCTTGGAGAAAAGACAGATGAGGTAGGTAGGCTTGCTCATGCTGGTTCATTCATAGTCTCCCATAGGAGGTTTGCCTTATTTTGCTAGGAGCAATGGAGACATTGAAAGTTTTGAGCAAGTGAGGTGATTTGTATTGCTCTTTAGGAAGATGAATTTGGCAGCAAGATCTGAGAAGATTTGGAGCTAGGAGTTGATGATGTAGACAAAGTGAAAGGAAAGCTTCCCCTTCCACGGTCTTCCTTATCAATATTTAGGTGAGGGAATGGGTCACCTAAACCCACATGCAGTCTCTAGCCTATATGAACTCTGCAGGCCCGTGATTCCCAGTTTTCAGTCTGCGCTCCCTTACCTCTGCCCTCATTCCCCAGCTGAGCTCCTGCTTAAGACATTTGAGGCATCTATCACTTCTGGGGGGTCAGGATCCACCTTGAGTGGGCTGCACTGTAGGTCTGGTTCTCTAATGCACTGAGCAGTGCTGAGGAGGGTTGATGTCTGCGCTGTTTTCCATCTTCTAAAACAGATGTCAATGCCAGTCATGTCATCGAGAGGGGACATGGAGAGTGTTCGCCGCTGCTTGGCGCACAGCCTCTTCATGAGTACTGCTGAGCTCCAGCCAGATGGTACCTATGCTACCACAGATACACACCAGCCAGTGGCCATCCACCCCTCATCTGTCCTCTTTCACTGCAAGCCGGCCTGCGTTGTGTACACTGCATTGCTCTACACCAACAAGTGCTACATGCGAGACCTCTGCGTTGTGGATGCCGAGTGGCTATATGAGGCTGCCCCTGAGTACTTCCGGAGGAAGCTGAGAACTGCCAGAAACTGAGTCAACCCAGGATGCTGCCAGCATGGCTGGGCCTGGAGCTTAGATCACAGCTGTCCTCATAGCAGACTCCAAGGTTGGCAGCTAAAGAAACTCAAGCCTTCAGTGCAGCTGAATTTGCCCAGCTTTCAGGAGCTTGAGAGTGTCTTTGATGAAACCCTCAGACTGAACCGTGTAGACCTGTATATATTTATACCTTGAGAAATTCAGAATTATGCTTTTGGTTCTGGCTGGGTGATTTTGGGTGGCTGAACTGACTTCTGAACCTCAGTTTCCTCATCTGCCATGGGGGATAATATATTTAATTTGTAGAATTCAAGTCTTAAAGTTCAGAAAATGAGTAGAAAGTTACCCAGAGATTGGCCTAACATAATGTGTCAGTGAATTGTAAGCCATTGTGCTTAATGTTACCATTTGCTACTTGATACAAGATGGTAGAGCAGAAGTCCTCTAAGTTCTTGTGATGAAAGGGATTTTCTGGAATGGGGCTACCGGAAGCTGCAGATCCAGTCTGTTGTCTTCAGTTCTACTACTTTTTTTGCTAAGTATTGAACCCAGAGCCCCATGCATGCTGTGCACTCTGCCACTGAGCCAGATACCTAGCCCTCAGTTCTACTTTAGCATCTACCTATATGTCTTTAGTTTAAGCATAAGAAACTGACTTCTGTAGACATATCAGGAGGGAGGTGTAGTTGTTTCTGACCTCCTATTGAGCCTCATGTCTCAGGGTGTGAACCATTCTCTCTGCTATCTCCAAGCAGAGATGAGCAAAGGATTCCCTTGGTCCTCAGTGCCTCTGTGGTTGCTTGTCCCTAGCAATGCTTTCTGGAGAAATACAGGTTTCCTGGTGAAAGTGGCTTTGAAACTTCTGGATCATGTTAGGTGTGGATATGGAAACCAGATTTTTAGTGTCGTGGCCTTCTGAAACCCAGTCATTCTTTTAAACTGGGCACCTATGAATCTGTGCACACAAGGGGCGGTCCTATGTTCTTTTCTGTTGTTTGGCTTCAGGCGGGGGCCCAGGTCACAGCAATTGGGGTGGGAGGGAAGAGATACATGCATGATCAGTGAGAAACCTCCCCACATCTGCTCTTTATATTTTTGGATCTTACTGATTTTTCCTTCTTTGTAGGGACTTGGAGACAATGTAGCTTTGCTACTTCTAACTGCACCAGACCCCCCCCCCCACCAAACCCTCATTGTCTGCATTTGTCAGAGGAGATTTCATAATCTCTGCATTCTTTTCCTGTTTAGAAAAGACATTAAAAATTCATCTTAGCTTATTATTAAAAGGGAACAATCTCTGGGCATGGTGGTATACACCTGTAATCCCCAGCTGAGATAGAATTGAGTTTTGAGGGTTTTACTATACTGGGTTTTACTATACTGAGACCTGTGTCAGCAGAGAAAAAAAGCACTTCCCAGACAATGTCTGAACTTAGGAAAAGCCAAATTTAGTCCTTTTCTTTTTCTTAGTTGGTCAAAACATATCTGTGCTACTAGTATTTTGTCATTTATACAAAGAATTGCATGTTGTTTATAAGCAAGAGGCCAAATTGCTTACAAGGTACTTCAAAAACAGTGGGCAGTTTATTCATTCTGGATCCAGCAAGCTCTTTCCAGAGATCATTGCCTGATTTGGGCACTTCCATTTCCAGGGTCTCACTGGTCCACAGGTGTGTGTGCTGAGTCCAGCCAGTCTGTATTCTAACCCTAGCCATGACCATGAGCAATCAAGCTTTTTAGCCGTGTTAAAATTGTCTGGGTACTTGTGATTTACTTCTATGATAAATGGTTACATTTAGACTAAATGGGATCAGACTTTGACCTGGTTCTTCCACAGATGGGCTTATTTTTACCATACTAACTCTGAAAAGCTCTCTAGGAAGTTTTTTGGTGTTTTTTTTTTTTTTTTTTTTTCTTTTAAAGTATATTTTTCTTATTTACACTAAGGGGTTAGGGTATTTATCTAACCTGACTTGGTAAGAGAAACTTTTGTATTTTTAATAGAATATTCATTATGCTGGTTACACAAAAGGAGGTGGGCAATATATTCCTCAGCAACTAACTGTTCCTCAGTAAATTAACAAGAAATGTTTTCTGAATCAAGGAAAAACTTAACTTGTAGTAATTTATGTCCAGTGTAAGTACCCAAAAAATTCCCCAAAAACTCTTTTTTTCCTAAAGCTTATGTAAAGGTTACATCTTCTAAGTAGCTTTAATGTTTCTGTACAGAAGTATGTTTATCACTGTTAACATTGTGGTAGAATTTTATTATGGTATTTATTTTTTTATTGGGCTTTTTAAAACCAGCTTTTTAACAAAGCTGCTCAGGGATTAAATCAGATGGAAATCCCATCCTGACTCCACATATCACTACAAAGAATTTATGATTATCTTGAGCTGCAGGGATAGTACACTTTAACCTTTCTTAAGAAAATTAAATGTTTCACAATTTTATTGCAATTCAATCTTGAGGTACTCTTTTTCAAACTCTTTGGTAGTGTCACACCACTTTCCAACCTGAAAAACCTAGACAGATAACAAGTTCCATATGCATCAAGTAATCATGAACCCCAACAGCCCTGCATGCCTCTGGTGTTTGTCCTCTTCTGCCAGTAATCATGGAGTGTGCAACACCCAGGGCAACACTCATTACAAACACCAGGTCCCTGGTAAAAACTCTTAATGTTGCATCTCTGCTAGTTGTAAAGAGATTCTAAAATGGGAGCAAAACATTGCCTGTGACCCAATCTAGCTACCAAGAACTGCTTGCAACTGTCGCCATGCGTCCAAGATGCCATTCCTTGAACACATTAAGTGACACTGCACCTGTGGAGAAACAGTTTTGTACTGAATGCTATAATGCAGGAAAAAATAAAAACAAATCAGGTTGATTTGGGCTTATGCTGTATTGTTTGGTCTTAGATGTAACTTTAAAAATATCAGCTCTTGTATATAATCCTCAAATTTGCACTTGACTCAAATCCATAAAAAAATGAATCTTGTACTTGATCCATGTGGCTTCCTTTTGTTTGGTTTCTGTACTGGTTGTCATCTTGTCACATCTGGGAAGAAGAAACCTCAATTGTGGAATTTCCTCTGTGGGATTGGCCTGTGGGCATGCCTGTGAGGCATTTTCTTGATTGTGGAGTGATGTGGGAGGACCCAGCCTGCTGTGAGTGTTGCATAAGAAAGCAGGCTGAGCACATTAAGGGGAGCAAGCTGGTACACAGGCCAGAAAGCAGCATTCCTCCGTGGTTTGTGCTTCAATTCCTGCCTCCAGGTTCCTTCCCTGACTTCTCTCAATAATGGATTACGACCTGGGAGCTGAAATAAACTCTCCTCCTGGTGTTGTTTTTGGTCAGTGTTTAAAGCACAGCGATAGAGAAGCAAACTAGAACTGCTTCGCTCCCCTTATGCAGTTTGGATAATATAAAACATTAGTTTTATTGCCATTCCTTTGGGTAAGAGTTGATACCTTGTAATAGCCTTGATTCTTAAATCTGGTGTAAACTGTGCATTCCTGCCCCAGGAAAATGATGGTCCCTTAAAAATTGGATGAACTGTTAACAGGGTGCAAAGCGAGGTTACCCAAATAAACCACAGTTCTGGGCGTTTGGGTTCTTGGTCTGGTGCTGGTGAGTCCAGGATGCCTGCTCACAGCAGTTGGGTGCATGAAGTCAGCTTTCCAGTGAGAGCAAGGAGCTTCCAGGAAGACCCTCTAAGGGAGGTGACCTTGAAGTCTGGAGAGACACCTCCCTCCGGGAAGGATTCGGGAGGGACTCGGGGAAATGTGCGGCGTCCGAAGCCGGCTGCACCGGCGGGTCCCAGCAGAGGGCGCGCTCGGCCTCGTGCCTTCAGCAGGTCCGCGTGGGCGGCGCTTCCCGGCCGAGGGCGGGATTTCCGGCGGCGCGCGAGGTCACGGGGCGCCTTGGCCGGGATCGTCCTTCCATCCGCACGTGTCTGTCGCCCGCGCGATGCTGCCCCTGCTGTGTGCGGCGTCCGAAGCCGGCTGCACCGGCGGGTCCCAGCAGAGGGCGCGCTCGGCCTCGTGCCTTCAGCAGGTCCGCGTGGGCGGCGCTTCCCGGCCGAGGGCGGGATTTCCGGCGGCGCGCGAGGTCACGGGGCGCCTTGGCCGGGATCGTCCTTCCATCCGCACGTGTCTGTCGCCCGCGCGATGCTGCCCCTGCTGCGCTGCGTCCCCCGAGCCCTGGGCGCCGCGGTCACCGGGTTCCGCGCCGCCGCGCCCGCCCCGGCGCTCAGGCAACTGCTGCAGCCTGCGCCCCGGCTGTGCCTCCGGCCCTTCGGGTTGCTGTGCGTGCGCGCTGGCCGGTCCGGCCTCCTCCGGCCCCCGGCGCCGTGCGCGTGCGGCTGCGGGGCGCTGCACACCGAAGGTGAGGCGGGTCCGCTGCGGGCCCGAAGGACCCTGCCAGGTTGAATCCCTGCCCGGTTGTCAGCCAGGGTGAACCTTCGCGGTCGCCGTTCTCTCTTCTACTGACCGAGGGCTCTCAGTGTGGAAGGGGCGGAGTGTGCGATTCAATTAAGTGCGGAAGGTTACCTTTATACATAGTCTCTTGCAAATGTTACTTTGGGAAGACCTGGAGCTGTGGTCTGTAGATGTGGTTACGTCTTTGGATAAATTGTTTCTTTTTATAGTGGAAGGTGGTAATGAGTTCATGATTAGAAATAATTCTTCAGAATCGAGCTCAGGTTCTCATGAGTAAATCATGAGGTTTTTGTTTTGTTTGTTGTTGAGACAAGATGTCACTAGATAGCCCTGGCTGGCCTGAAACTCACTGTGTGGACCAGAATGGCCTTCAGTTCCCAGAGGTCCTACTGCTGGAGTTAAAGACGTGGTCCAGGCCCAAATCATGGTATTTGTTTACAGAAGAAGAAACTGAGGTTTTAAGACCTAAATTGAGCTAAAGCCTCAGAGCAACCCAGTAAGAGATTAGAAACTGTCCAAGTCCAGGTTTCTAACTGGTATCCCCAGTGGTGTCAGACTAATTGTCTTTTCTCTTTTTGGATCATCTGAATCTTTCATTTAGGAGACAAAGCTTTTGTTGAATTTCTGACCGATGAAATCAAGGAAGAAAAGAAGATCCAGAAGCATAAGTCCCTTCCCAAGATGTCTGGAGATTGGGAGCTGGAAGTGAATGGGACAGAGGCTAAATTAGTGCGGAAAGTTGCTGGTGAAAAGTAAGTACTGGAAACTAAAACCTCAATCCTTCAGGGGCCTGTCCTGGGCCATTCCCCAAACAGCCTCAGTTAGGCCCAGTACTTTGATAAAATGGTTTTCAAGAGAGGGTTTCTTTAGACAGCTTCCTAAGTTCCAGTAGTACATTCACTGAATACAAAATTTCTGTGTATTGGTTGGTTACTAAGGACACTAAGTAGCCCAAAAGAGTACAGGAAAGTCTGTTGGAATGGTCAACATATACATTCAGTTGGTGAGGGATGCCACATCATGCCTGGGTTTAGGTACTGGAAAGTACTGATAAAATCAATTTATCTATTTCTGGTTCAGAGTTTTGATAAAAACAAGCCCCTGAAGGCTCCCATTTATGGTAAGTGAAAATGCAAGATCTGCAACTGTGTAACAGGACCATGCTACAGTGTAGAAAGGACAACTCAAAGAGGTGGAGAATTCTTAACCAAGTTTAGCTATACCCTCCCCCCCAAGTCTTTGTTTTTGAGATGGGTCTTCGTCTTGCTGTGTGGCAGAGGCTGGCCTTGACTTTTGTTCATCCTCCCATTGCTAAGTTCATGTGTTTTCCTTAGAGAACTGTCTACTTGAACTCTATGCCTGTGTCTTTTTATCACTGTTATAAGAATCCTTTGAGTTTAATTTCCTTAGATGTAATTTGAAGTTTCATGGTTTTACCTAGCATGTGTGAGGCCCCAGGATCAATCCCAGCACCACATGTGTGCACACACATCCCATGTACAAGAAAAGCAGTTTAGCCAGTCATGGTGGCCTGTGATCCCAGTAGGTGGATGGAGGACAGGAAGTTAAAGGCTGCTCAGCACAGGTTTCATAGGGAGACCCTCCCTCAGGGAAAATTAAAAGGTTCATTGTGGCTCACATGTCTGGAGGGTGGCATGCATATGATGGTTATCTTTTTCTGGCAGGGGCTGAGGTGGGGCAGTGTGCCACATAGCACAAGACAGAGAGTATTTGTTTGGTTTCTGCCTCTTTATAAAACCACCCAAATTCATTCATGGGAATTCTACCCTGATTACCTTATCTTAACCTAATTCCAAAGCCCCACTTCTAAACACCACAGGTGAATTAAGTCTCCACCTGCTTGGTCTAGGGGATATAGCTCCTTGGTAGATGCATGAAAGACTGGATTTTGATCCCTAGTAGCAAGAGGGGGCATAAAGTGATAACATTTCCCCTTCTTAATACTATTAATTTTGGGGGACTAAATTTCTATGTGCATGGGGAGAGAGCATAAACCATATAAAACCATAACAATACATAGAAGTATCTGTATACTTTTTGGTGCTGGGGATTTATTAATCACTTGCCTAAAACATGGGAGGCCCCAGGCTGGATTTACAGCATTACACACACTGACTTTTTAGAGTCACCTTTAAGAAACTTGTCTAACCAAAGGTTGTAAAGATTTAGATTTGTGTTTTCTTATAAGAATCTTAGCCAGGTGTGTGATGGCACATGCCTTTAATCCCAGCATTCCGGAGGCAGAGGCAGGTGGATCTCTGTGAGTTCAGGCCAGCTGGACTACAGGGAAACCAAAAAAAAAAAAAAAAAAAAAGGAATTTTATAGGGCAGATGGTTTCTTAGCTGCTCACCTCTACCAGAGTTCCCTGGAAAGACCAAGGTGGGCACATGGCAGGGAACCTGGGGGTGCCAGCCTGATGGCTACATCCCCAGCCAGAGCTTATCAATTTAACTTTAGCAGCTGGCACATTATTAGGTACACATTAGAGCATGTTGAATGTGACTTAGATTGGATATAGGCATACAACTTGCTTTTAAATTCTACATGTAATTCAGACATGCAGCCAGCTAGGATTGAGATGTTTCAACTTGCCTTTGTACACCTTACTGCAGCAGGCCTCCCTCTTGCCTGTTGTATTACTCAGTTAAAACTATACCTTGTTGACTGTGCTTTCCCTTGCTTTTCTAGGATTACTGTCACTTTCAACATTAACAATAGCATCCCGCCAACATTTGATGGTGAGGAGGAGCCCTCACAAGGACAGAAGGTTGAGGAACAAGAGGTAAGCCAGCCAGCCATTCTTCGTCTGTTCTAAAAGGCAAGAGGGCCGTTTTCTTTTAAAAATTCCTCTCTAATGCTAGAGGTAGACAAAGACACCCATTTAGGGGGCTCTAGAACAGTGGAATTGATATTTTGAGGTAAGCTTTAGCCCAAGGTTTGGCCCTGTTTCCTAACTGCCCAAATACATTGCCACCTGCAGGCTTGGGCTTTATTGTTGGGCCTGTGTTCTCTTAATGCAAAGGAACCACAACTGTCTTACCCCTTAAGAGATTATCATTTGGAGTGTTTTCAGTGTAGGAAATGTTCGTTAAAAGGGGAGGCGGAGGCAGGCGGATCTCTGTGAGTTCAAGGCCAGCCTGGTCTACATAGTGAGTTCCAGGACAGCTGGGGCTACAGGGAGACCCTGTCTCAAAAAGACCAAAAAAAAAAAAGTAGGTGATCAATACTAGTGATTTAACCAAGATAGGAAGGCCAGGGACTTACAGGCCATTTTTTTCTTTTGATTAATTTATTTATTGCGTGTGCATGCCACTGAACACTTGTAGAGATAAGAGGATGACTTGCTAGGGTCAGTTCTTCCCTTCCACTCTGTGGGTCCCAGGACTGAACTACGTCATTAGGCTTTGGCAGGAAATACCTTTGCCTGCTGAGCTACCTTGCCAGCCCAGACATAAGGATTTTAACATAAGGCCAGTTTCAATCTTTCCTTAGGTTCCTGGCCCTCTTGGCTACATCTAAATGGTACTGGAACATTTTAGGAAGCGGTGTTCTCAGTCTAGAAACCAGCCACCCTGGGAGCCATAGGGTCCCAGGATCATGAGACTAAGCAGATGACCATGCTAGTACTGACTACTCTGAAGAGCAGAGTCTTCTCTTGCATTTCTGTCTGAAACTCTGTGGTTGCAGCCTTGATCCGTTCCTTAGGTGATCATGAAAGGGAGCTTCTGCCATTTCTGATTACGATGGCCACATGTGCCAGCATCTGATCCTGCTCCATAATACAGGAGGATAGCCAAAACAGCCACAGGAGAAAGAGCTCTACTACTTGCTGTAGCCATCTCTGCAGTGAGCAGAAACAGGCCCAGAAGGGGGAGGGGCTGATCGAGATCTCAGTTAGATGGTACATAGCTATGGCTGGAGACCTCAACCTAAACCCATGTGTTCTTTTAAAAAGGAGGGTGCTGAGGCAGGAGAGATGGCTCAGCAATTATGAGCACTGGCTGCCCTTGTAGACAACTAAGGTTCAATTTCCAGCACCCACACAGCGGCTAACAACCATCCTAGCTCCAGTTCCATAGGAGACAATACCCTTCTCTGACCTCCAAGGACAGTGCACATCAGGTGCTCTTACATACATGGAGGCTCATACACATAACCTAAAAAAATCTTTTTTTTGAAGTAGGGTCTGTTCCAAAGGCCAAAAAATGTCAAAACTATTTGGAAGCTTTTATCTAATCCTTAAAAGATTTTAGGGTTACCTCTTCAGAAGAGGGAATGTTAGAGTAGCCAAAAGCCCCATTTAAAAAAAAAATAAAGAATACATGAAGATATCAGAAAAAATGTGATGGGGAGGGGAGAGGGCATGGATTTGATCAAAACACCTTATTTGCATGTATGAAATTCTCAATAAATTATTTATTTTAAAAAAATAAAAGGGTGCTACTAGGTGAGACATTGTTTAGTACACCATAAGACTATAAAAATGGCTAATAGCACTAAAATATCTTAATGGTGGCACCATAGACATTCTGAACTACCTGAGGCCTTTGCCTTTGACCAAGCACCTACCTTCCAACATTGGTATATGCTGACTTGATCTTGTTTCTCCAGCCGGAACTGACATCAACTCCCAATTTTGTGGTTGAAGTTACAAAGAGTGATGGCAAGAAGGCCCTTGTCTTGGACTGTCACTATCCAGAGGATGAGGTTTGTAGGATGGACTGCCTCCTGATCCCATTTAGCATATACTGAAATACTTGGTAATCTAGACCAAGGCAGGGAAGACAGGTGGGAGTGGGGAGGGAACAGGGTTAGAACCTGGGAAGTTTCAAACTGTAGAGCCTGTCTTTGTATGAGGCTGGCTTATTCTGGAATACTTTTTTTCCTTACCTCTACTACATCTTCCCAGATTGGACAAGAAGAAGAGGCCGAGAGTGACATTTTCTCTATCAAGGAAGTTAGCTTTCAGGCCACTGGTGACTCTGAATGGAAGGATACAAACTACACACTCAATACAGATTCCCTGGACTGGGTAAGTGTAGATGAGATAGAGGCACTTGGCCTTTAAAGGAGGGTCCTAGTTCAAGAAGAAGAAAAGTATTATATACAACAGATTGTTTTAAATTTTTAAAAAATGTGTTTGTGTGTATGCCTGATGTTCATGCACACCGTGGCCTACCAGTGGAGCTCAGAGGACAACTTTTGGGAGTTGGTTCTTTGCACTGTATGGGTCCTGGGAATCAAACTGATGTCATCAGGCTTGGCAGCAAACACCTTTACCCACTGGGCCATCTTGCTGGCTCGTTGGTTGGTTTGTTTAAACTAGTAAATATTCCTCTCCCTAGGCCTTGTATGACCACCTAATGGATTTCCTTGCGGACCGAGGGGTGGACAACACTTTCGCAGATGAGTTGGTGGAGCTCAGTACTGCCCTGGAGCACCAAGAATATATTGCTTTTCTTGAGGACCTCAAAAGTTTTGTCAAGAGCCAGTAGAAATGTGAGAGACACTGAAGGCCTTAATTTTAAGGGTGAGCTTTGGCCAGTGAACAAAAGCTACCCTGACGTCAGACAAGTGTTATAAAGTGGTTGTCATCCTAATATCATGGGGAAAAAAGCAAGTTTAAACTATTGCTGTTATGTTCCCATTTATCATTCATTTGGTTCTTTTCCTGTACAAATCATTATTTGTATAGATTTTTGTATAACATAATTATGGACAATAAAATTGGTTATTGCCTCCCTCCAAGACAGTTTTAATTTTCTATTCTGTGGCCTTGCATCAAAACACCAAGAAAAGAGATGTTTAAAAAGCTTTAATGCAAAATAAGTTACAAAGGCTTGTTCACGTAAGGGTCTTAATCAGAGGAAACGAGTTGCTTTCAGCCTAGTGGAGTGACAAGTCCAGGATGACTCTAGAGGATCACGGCCCAAGTGTCACAAGCCTGGATTAAACAGAAAACAAGTTAGCATAAACTGAATTCTAGTCATGAAAAGTTAGGTGAATATATGGCTAAAAGTTGTTATCAAAAATGGGATCTAACTGGGGCTGGAGAGATGGCTCAGCAGTTAACACTTGACTTCTTACAGAAGACCCAGGTCCAAATCCCAGCACCCACATGGCAGCTAACAACTGTCCGTAACTCCAGTTCCAGGGGATCCGACAGCCTCTTCTGTCATTGCATGACACAGGTGCACTTACATACATGGCAGGCAATACATTCATACACATAAAAATAATTTTAAAATGAAAAAAAGGGGCTGGAGAGATGGCTCAGCGGTTAAGAGCACTAACTGCTCTTGCAGAGGACCCGGGTTCAATTCCCAGCACCCACATGGCAGCTACAAACTGTCCTTAACTCCAGTTCCAGGGGAATCTGAAACCTCCTGACCTCTGCGGCATTGCACGACACTGGTGCACTCACATACATGCAGGCAGTACACTCGTAGACATAAAATAAAAATAATAAAATATTTTAAAAATTAAGAAAAAATTTTAAATGGGATCTAACTATATTGCCCAAGCTGGCCTTGAATTCCTGGGTTCAAATTACCCTGCCTCTCAGCCTCTTAGGGAGCCAGGACTACAGGCATGCGTTGCCAGGCCTGCACTTCCTCTTTTTTTTTTTTTTTTTTTTAATTTTTTTTAATTTTTTTGTGTATGAGTGTATTGCCTGCATGTGAGTGTGCCTGTGTCGTGCAATGCCCCAGAGGTCAGAAGAGGGCTTCAGATTCCCCTGGAACTGGAGTTAAGGATGGTTCGTAGCCACCATGTGGGTGCTGGGAATGGAATTCTGGTCCTCTGCCAGAGTAGTCAGTGCTCTTAACTGCTGAGCCATTTCTCCAGCTCTGTGTGTGTCTGTGTGTTCCCAGATCTCGCTGCTCTGGCTAGTCATTTTGCCCCAAAGATCCCCTGCCTCTACTTCCTGAATTCCAGGATTACAGGAAGCCACCATGCCTGCCCTGATCCAAATTCGGGTCCTCACACTTGCAATGTGCTCATTTTTCTAAGGCAGAAGACAATGTCATCTAACTTGTACCGCTTCAACTCTTTCCACTTAGGCAAGCTGGGTGTGGTGGTACACACCTTTAATCCCAGTATTCTGAAAGGCAGATGCAGACAGATCTCTGTGAGCTCTAGGCTAGCCTGGTCTACACAGAGTTCCAGGCCTGCCAGGGCTATATAATTAAATCTAATATCCAAACCAGGTAATGACGCAACCGGAAAAAAAAAAAAAAAAAAAAAAAAAAAAAAAAAAAAAAAAAAAAAAAAAAACCCAATAACAAAAATCACATTAAGCATCTATTTATATACCAAAGTAGTCCTGGGAGTAAAAGTAGTCCTTGCCCTCAGAAAGATGTAAACAGTTAACACCTGCAGCATTGCAGGGAACACAGCAGTAGATACAGTTGGAGCCCACAAATGCTAAACAATTTTATGTGAGGGTCAGGTTTTACAGAGTATCTGGCATGCTGTAGCACTCAACTGTTTCTAGAGTTGCCCTTGCCTGGGACCTGAAAGCTGTAACAATATATGGCATCTTCTGTGTAGGAGACATTGGTTTCCATAGTAAACTTAAGGCTTCTAAGACAGGTGGCTCCACCCATTTGTGTAGTCCTGTCCCTCACACCTAAGTTACCATTTGACTAGAGTCTAACCTTGGATCTCTGTGAAGACTTGTTGAGAGAGATGAGCCTGGCATTGCTCTGCTGTGCTTCCTGTCCTGTATCCATCTGCAAAAGTGATGCCAGGATGGCCATCTGGGATTTATGTCCATGCCCTTACTTACGGAGTTCAGACCACGGCTGCCAATCCAGCAAAAGCCGACTCCCCAGTTTCCTGACCAATGCTCCGCCAGGGCTTTAGGCCTACTCTCAGCACACTGTCAGGACTCTGGGCCTACTCTCAGGGCTCCACCAGGAATCTAGGCCTACTCCCAATGTTCTGCCAGGGCTCTGGACCTATGCTCAACGATCTGCCATGGTTCTCAGCCTACTCTCCTTTATCAGGCTTTTTAGGGGAAATGACTTATGACCTATACTTTTTTCATTCATTTGTGATAAAGTCTCACTATGTAGTCCAGGCTGGCCTCAAACTCCTTGCCTTAGCCTCCCAAGTGTTGGGATTACAGATATTCACCACCACACCCAGCTGATCTTTTCTATGAAATAAATTCCTCAGAAAATAAATTGTAGTTAACGTTTACCTATTTCTAAGCTATTATTTTTGCCAAGGCAGGAACAAAAGTAAATACTGACATGCTTGTAGAGCTGACTGGTCCCACTGGAGGCTTACCTACCAGACAGCTCATGAGAAGACTGGGCTTTTCTTCTGCCCCATCAGTGACTGAAAATGCAGGGGTGCAGGGACAGTGTAGACTGTGCTCGTTTATGTTATCTTCTAAGCAGGCACGAAGCTTCTGCTCTGTCAACTCCGGAGACTAAAGAAAGTTCAACCACAAACTAATCTTAATTATTTGTAATCAACAGTTGAAAATCCTGAATCCTCATGCCAATCAATGTAACTCCCTTGGTTAGGATAGTTTGATTCTTTAGAGCTTTAAAGACTGAGGAATTGGGAGTGCACTTCAGTTGGTAGAAGGCTTGCTTGGTATGCATGAAGCACTAGGCTCCATTCCCAGCACCATATAAAAACCAGGTGCAAGCCTAATTCCAGCACCCAGAAGGTGAGGACAGACGGATCAGAAATTAAGGTCAGGGGCTGAAGAGATAGCTCAGTGGTTAAGAGCCCTGGCTGCTCTTGCAGAGGACCTGGGTTTGGTTCCCAGCATCCACGTGGCAGCTAACAACTGTGAGCTAACAACTTCATTTCAGGGGATCCAACACCCTCTTCTGGCCTCCATGGGCATTGATTGCATGGCATGGATGCACTTACATGCAGGCCAAACACTCATACACATAAGATAAAAATAAATTTTAAAAATTCAAGGTCATTTTTGGGCTACATAGTGAGTTTGAGATCAGCTTGGGCTATTATTAGACCCTGTCTCAAAACCAAAAAAGATACCCTTGAGCTCATAACTGCCAAGATATCTTAATCTCCATTTACCTACTCCTATAGATTAACCAATGCTCTCCATTCCAAAAATAAGTAAATAAATAAAAATTAAAATAGAAAAAAAATTGCCACTCCCAGCAGGAAGAACAGAGCCAGCAGGCTATTCTAACCTCGCTCTGCTTCTGCCCTCATGGGCCAGTGTATCCTTAGAACCAGCAGGGTCTTCTTCCAGATCTGTTTTTGCTAACTGAACTTGCTACTGTAGCTTTATGATTTAATGATACTGTATGGGGGAAGAAGTGAACAAAGTTTCATTTTTATGATTAAGAGAAAGTTTTAAGAGACATTAGGTAAAACATGGGGAGAGCAATCCTAAAGTTGTATAACTACCTTCTTATTTTGTTTTTTGTTTTGTTTTTTATATAGTTTCACTACTGGGCTAGAACTCATTATGTAACCCAGGCTGGCCTAAACTTGCAATCTTCTTTCTTTTTGAGACAGGGTCTCCCTGTAGCCCCAGTTGGCCTGGAACTCACTAGGTAGACCAGGCTGACCTCAAACTCAGAGATCCACCTGTCTCTACCTCCCAAGTGCTAGGACTAAAGGCGTGCGCCACCACACCTGGCTACTTGTAATCTTCTTGCCTCAGCCCAATTGAGGATTTACAGGCCTGTGCCACCATACCTGGCATCATACTTAGCTACCTGGCCAATCTTACAGATATAAAATGGGAAACTTCAGGCTATGCACTGTGAGTTTTTTGTTTTGTTTCCTAGACAGGTTCTCACTGTAGCCCTGGCTGGCCTGGAACTGGCTATGTAGACTCACAGAGATCCGTCTGCCTCTGCTTCCCAGGTGCTAGGATTAAAGGTGTAGGTCATCTGGCTTATTTTTTTAAGTCTATTTTCAAAGTCATCTGAAAAATACCATAAAATGTTTTTATCATTTTCTACTTCAACTGGTCAACTCAGTCTCCATCATGGCAGAAGTCATTTCCTGCATTTTAAGAGCAATAAAGCTTTTAAGTTCTACTGGTGTGAAGTCATATTTGGGAAAGGTTGAATGCATGTTTCAGATCCTAAACTGGGATCTTTTATAGATCTAAATCTAGTGACTGGAGAGATGGCTCAGTGGTTAAGAGCACTGGCTTTTCTTGCAGAGGACCTGGGTTCGGTTCCCAGCACCCACATTGTATCTTTAACTCCAGTTCCAGGGGATCTGATGCCCTCTTCTGATCTCTGTGGGCACTGCACAACAGGTGTACCTACACATAATACAGACAATACACTTGTACACATAAAAATAAATAAAATAACAATATCTGAATCTCTGGTGGCTTTCCATGGGATTAAAAAGCCCCACTGCATAGTGTTTGCCAGTCCCCATGCAGCATGTATTTTCACCATGGCTGATGTAAAGCTACCAATGTAATGTTGCTGAACACAAAATTGGGAATAGATGTTACAGTTTGAATGTGAAATACTCCCCACAGGCTTATGGGTTTAAATACTTCGATTTTAAGAGGTTATGGAACCTTTGAAACATGAAGTTTACCTGGTGGACACAGGCTACTTGGAACAGGCCTTTGAAGACTATACCTATTTTCTGCCAGCCAAGATGCTGAGGAGTCCTGGGTATATGTGCCCATCTCCATGGAGCCACTCTGCTATGCCTTCTATGCCATGATGGACTGCACCTTCTCAAACTGTGAGCCAAAACAAACCTTTCCTCTTTCATAAGTTGTTTCTGTCAGGTATTTTGTCACAGGACAAGAAAAGTAACTAATGAGGATGTGCTGGATTGGCTCCAACCCACCATTAAAGGTTCTTTAAATAGTAGATACATGTAGAAAAGGGTCACAGAAAAGTCTGTGCATGGAACACTTACATGAAATGGGATGAACAGGCCACACTGACACATGACCACACTGTCTATTATTCTCAGGTTGAACCTAGAAACAGAATTGGGATTCCCAGATCATTGTGGCAAGGAAGCCTGGCTCTTCAAACCTTTTCAGTCAACAAACTAGGGGAGAGGGTATGGAGGGGTCCCAGTTACTTTAGAGTAGGGGATAAGAGCCAGAAATGCTAAAAAGATTTAGAAAATTCTTACTTTATACACACAGGGCAGATGAGGGGGTTTGCTTCCCACTCAGTCAGCATGATGTTGAGACAATTTTCATCAAACTGTAAGCTCGTCTCATATTCGTTGATAATGGACTTTTCTGCAAGGCAAATGACTTGGGATCGCCCTGTGCTCATAAGGCAGGGCTATAAACATGAAGTCCAGTCAGGACAAGGCTATGTGGAGTAAATGACCATTGTACCAGTTCCTAAGTTATGGACTCTGGAATGTACTATAAATGCACTATGTCTACATAGTACTATGACACTTGAGTAATGGATCTGACCATGTACAATGACCATTTTACAATGACAGGGTTACCATAAGCTTTTTTTTTTTTTTTTCTGAGACAGTTCTCACTATATTGCCCAGGCTGGCCTAAAGCTTCCTGACTCAACCATCTCCCAGCAAGCCCACCCTCCTGAATCAGCATTGCAAGTAGCTGGTACTATATGCCACAGTGCTCAGTTTAACCTAGTAATGGAATAGGCAAGATAAACTAAATATAGGAACTGGATCCACAAAATAAATCCTGCTTCCCAGATGCATCATTTACTAGCTATGTGACCTGTGTGAGAGTGTCATTTTCAGACGCTATCTTTTACAGTCCCTTCTAATTCTGTCTTTTGTATTAGTCACAAGCAAGAAAGCAGTTATCATGGAATGGGAAGGTCTTAGTACAAATACTGCCACTCTGCAATCTCTTACTGTTGGAAAGACAGACAGACAAGAATTCAGTCAGAGACATTTGATATTTCTGAAGACAGAGCTACTATGTAGAAGACTTGGAATTAATGAATCCTAGCCAGGTTGGTGGCACATGCCTTTAATCCCAGCACTCCAGAGGCAAAGGCAGGCAGATCTCTGTGAGTTCAGGGCCAGCCTGGTCTACATAGTGAGTTCCAGGCCAGCTGGGGCTACAGGGAGACCCTGTCTCAAAAAGACCCAAAAACAAAACAAAACAAAACAACAAAAAAAAAACGAATAAAGACTTAGAGCTTTAGAGTTTACCTCCAAGGCTACATTTAATCTTCAACAATTAATGAAACAAAACAAAACCTAATCCTGATTCAAGGAAAAGCCAGTGTTTGAGTAACTAAATAGAAGCAGGAAAGACTACTTGCTGGGGTTACCTTCATCACACAGCTCCTGTTGGATTTCCTCCAGCACAGATAGGTCCACTGGCAACCCCAACTACGAGAGAAAGTGGAGGGCTGGGGATATTGCCTAGCATGCAAGGTCTTGGGTTTAATTCCCCAGCATGGTACAAACAGAAGGAAGGGAGGAGAGAGGGGAGATCATCATCTTAAGTTTGATTGAAGTATTAATCTGCCACCAAACCCCACAGTGATTAATAACTGAAAGGTGGTTCAAGAGCCCCAGATTTACCTGACAAAATTGGTCCAATTAGCTTATATCATACTGTAAGGACACATAACATGCCACTGAAAAGGCATCATTTATTATATAGTGACTTGATGGCTTCAAAGTAGTTTTTCCTGTTTTGTCACACAGTTCTTATAATGCTCAAGGTATCTTCTCCATGTGTGAAAACTACAGTGTGAAGAGGCAAAGTGAGTCAGTAGCAAAACCAGACTTAGAATTTCAGAAGTCCTAGCCTCTAATCCAAAGCCTTTCCTGATATACTGCAAATGGCTTTCTATGCACACTCTGAATCAGAATGTTGCCACAGACCTTTTTGTTTTTTCTTTTTTTAAAGAGTGGCTTCTAGCCAATGCCTACTGAATCAAAATTTCCAAGAGTAGAAACCAGAGTTGAGATTTTTTTCTTTTTAGTTTCTTAAAGGATGTAGCAGATCTACAGTCTGGTTCCAGTCCAAAGCAGAAAAGCCTGGGCCCAAAGGCTGTTAGAACTGTGCTTAGGGACTTAGAAGTGGGTGAGGTGAAAGAGTGTGATAAGCAGATACAAAGAGATCACTAGAAGTAATTCTTAGCTCAGTCCCCTAGGTAACATCCTGTCCTGACCTGGGTCAAGCCCTCCGGACAGTTCTCTACTGACTGCAAAGAATTCCACTCTTCCTCCATCACTTCTTCCACTAGGAGTCTGTTGGAGACTCTTACTGGCATGTTGCCTCCAGTCTGACGGTACTTGTCCAGGAGCTTGTCCCGGTTGTTTCTCATTCTCTGGAGACATCCCTTGGGGTGGGAGGGGGGAATCGAATAAAAGAAGGAAAATGGCAATTGCTAAGATATAAAAGGAAATTTAGACACAAATGTCATAGTCCCCTCAAATTTTTATCCACATACAGATCGGTAAAGTTACAGTGCTTTGTCCCTATGCTTCCAGATTCCCATATTCCACACTTTATCTTTAATGCAAGCTTTCTTAACGGTTAGGTGTGTAGTATCGCTGCATCCACAGGACATTCATATTGCTTCTAAACTTGTGCTACTGTACAATGGCTTTCCTGGGGCTGGAGAAATGGCTCAGCAGTTAAGGACACTTGCTGTTCTTGCAGAGAACCCAGGTTTGATTCCTAGCACCCATATGGCAGCTAACAACTGTCTGTAACTCCAGTTTCAGGGGATCCAACAACCTCTTCTGACCTCCATGGGCATTGCACAACATGGGTGCGCTCACATACATGCAGCCAATACATTCATACACACAAATTTTTTTTAAATAAAATAAAAAAAATAATGGCCTTCCCATACAACAATATTTCCATTTCGGCGATTTTTGTTGACAAAGGAACATATGACATTATTTGGAGATATTTTGGTCATCACAATTCTAGGTATAGAACTAGGTATAGGATACTACATCTAAATACAAAGTATATAACAGCCCTCCATATCAGAATTTTCTCCTTCAAAATGTCACTACCCACAGATGAGAAACTTGCTACATACAATTCTTCCAGTATTAGATTATTTTTCCTGGAATATACCCGCTACTTTAGAGAGTATTAGGGAGGAAGGGAGAGGGAGGAAGAGGGAGAGAGAGATGGAGGGAGAGGGAGGGAGAGGGAGAGGGAGAGAGAGATGGAGGGAGGGAGAGAATTAATATGAATGGATTTCTCGGTAGGAACTATTCTGACCTCAAGAGGCCAGAACTGCAGTACAACTCCCCTAATAAGTAACTGAGGCTCTTCTGATTCCTCTTTAGAAGTAATTTCTATCTCACACAACAACACAGGTGTACAGAGTTCTTCTCTCTAAGTGGTCATGTTATTAGAGCGCAGAGGCTGTGGTCATGACACTTTAAATTTGAAACAAAACCAAATCCAAAACCAAAGGTTCCTGGGATTGACTCCACCTGGTGTAATCCCACACCTAGAGGACCAACAACTCTGGAGGCGGCGGACGGTAGTCAAGACCCAGTCCTATGGCAGGAGGCTTGGGGTTCCAGGTTCACTTCCCTGGCGAAGAGGTACAGCACCTGCTTCATGAGCAATGCTGGGGCTAGGGCAGAGGACAGTGGAGCCTGGGAGACATTAGTGACCAAGCCCCACACCCCACACTCACCTGCCTGAAAGCCTCCTTCCAGGGCGGGGAGTTCACCTGTTTGTAAAGCAAGTGGTGAGGAGATCCGGAGGATTCTGCCATACCTCGGCCCGAAGGGGGCACCCGAAGGCCCGCCCCTTAGCCAGCGCGCAAAGGCCTCTGGAAGTTGTAGTTTGGGGATATTGATCGCGCTTCGGGCCTTAAGGAATCCTAGTACGTGTCCTATGTAGCCTGCCGCAGCACGGAGACAGATGTGGGAAACCCCAGGATGGCCGACGACAGTTAACCCAAACTATATTGAGTCAGGTGAGTCTTAAGAGAAAGGTCTGGATTGGAGGCGTCCAGTAAGCAATTATACAGATCTCATTCGTTCTCATACTGGTCTTCTAGTAGCACTAAAACTGCCTTTAAACCGGAGCTATTGTTGACCCTGTTCCGCTCGCTTAGGCTTCAGAATAAATGCTGCATATAGGCTTTCCTCTGGTGATGCCTCTCTTTCGCCCCACCCTCCCTGCCACAGCGTCGGGCCTCCGGAACTTCTACTCGATGATTGGCTGAAGCAGTGGAAGGCTGGCTGCGGATTGGCTGCGCCCAGAGGCGGGCTGAGCAACCAACTGGAGAGTAGTTGAGACAAGATGGCGGCTGCCGAGGGACCCGCGGCAGATGGTGAGCTGTGGCAGAGTTGGCTTCCTAACCACGTTGTGTTTTCGCGCCTCCGGGAGGGACTGAAAACCCAGAGTCCAGTCGAAGCGGAAAAGCCGGCGCCTTCGTCCACACCCTTGTCGCCGCCGCAGTTGCTGACGAGAAACCTGGTGTTCGGCCTCGGTGGGGAGCTCTTCCTGTGGGACGTGGAAGGCAGCGCCTTCTTGGTGGTTCGGCTTCGCGGCCTCAGCGGGGGCGGTGCGGAGCCCGCTCTGTCCCAGTACCAGGTAGGCCAGGCCATTCGCAGGGCTTCTGGCTGGAAGCGGATCCACTCTTCCAGTGGGAAAATCCATCTCATTTTCTTTCCTCCCCAGCAGGCTTATTGACTCCTACCGCCGCACTTTAGGTGCTTGTGTTGTGAGCATCTGGGAGGAAGGTAGAAACCAGACGCTCCCGAGACGTCTCGCCCTGGGCTCCCTGTTAGTAGGCACATTCCTGATAAAATGCCACAGCTGCGCTCGTGGGTGCGCGCGCGCGCGCACACACACACACACACGTCTATGAGTAGTAGTTTTTAAAACAATAACAAAATCCTAAATGCTGTGCTTATTACAAGGTGACCTATGATTTGAATTAGACTTGTCAAAATCAGGTAGAAAAAAAGATGGGAGTTAAATGTGGGGACTAGTAAGAAACACAGTTCGATTAGAATTCCCAACAGCCATTTAAAAGACTGACAGATATCAGTAGTAGTTACAAGAAATTTCATTATATTCAAAGAAGTCTTATCTAAAAGGATTTTTGGCTCAGAGTGATTGTCTATAATAAATGACATTGATAGTCTCATTTATTAATAAAAGTAAAAAAAATGGGAATCTGAGATGGCCATGAGAAAAGAAATAGGACATACCAGTGTAAAAAGTGAACAGTTTTGCCAGGAGTGGTGGCGCACGCCTTTAATCCCAGCACTCAGGAGGCAGAGGCAGGCCTGGTCGACGTAGTGAGTTTCAGGATAGCTGGGGCTACAGGGAAACCCTGTCTCAAAATGACAAGATAAGTAAATAAACTTGGTCTACATAGTGAGTTCCAGGACAGCTGGGGCTACAGGGAGACCCTGTCTCAAAAGAAAAAAAAAAAAAAAAAAAAAAAAAAAGTGAATAGTTTGAGGACATAGGATGCTATGAAAAACAGAACCCCCTTAAAATATCACTGGTCTTCCATAGCAGTACTCTGCTGCAGAAGCTCTTGAAGATATTCATTATTCTGCTGTACTATTTATATAATGGATATCATTTATTAATATTTGCAGATGTGCTTCTTTACTTAGTATTAACAGCATGATGCCAGATACTATGCTAGGAATAAAAGAAAGACAACTGTTAAGTAATATCTAGTAGGTTGTGTTAGAGGGGCAAGTTTTGAAAAGGACATTTAGAATGCACCGTGATAAGGTGATAAGAACTATGATGGAATGGAATTAACCAGAATGTGCTGTAAAACTACAGAAAAGGTGCATTTCTCTTTTTAAAATTATTTTTTATTTCATAGTATGAGTGTTTGGCCTGCATATATGTTAAGTACACCTGTGTTGTGCAGTGCCCACAGAGACCAGAGGAGGGCATCAGAGCCCCTGGAACTTGAGTAACAGTTGTTAGCCACCGTGTGGGTGTTGGAAACCCAACCCAGGTCCTCTGCAAGAACAGCCAGTCTCTTAACCACTGAACCATCTCTCCAGCCCTCAGAGATAATTAAAATATAGATTTTATTATGTTTGTTTTATGTGTATGAATGTTTTGCCTGCACATATATAAGTGTATCACATGTGTGCAGTGCCCACAGAGGCCAGAAAAAGGTATCCAATCTCTTGGAACTGGAGTTACAGATGATTGTTAGCTACTATGTGGATTCTGGGAACTGAACCTGGGTCCTCTGGAAGAACAGCAAGTGCTTCTAACTGCTGAGCCATCTCTCTAGCCCTAAATTCTTTTTTGTTTCCTTTTTTTCTAAACAATTTATTATTTTCTTGAGAGAGAGAGTCTGTGTGTGTGTGTGTATGTGTGTGTGTGTGTCTGTGTAGATATTTGCAGGTGCTTGCAGAGGCTAGAAGAGGGTATCAAGTGCCCCAGAACTGGAATTACAGAGGTTGTGAGCTGAACATTTGGGTGCTGAGAACCAGACTCTTGTCCTTCACAAGAGTAGCAAGTGCTCTTAATGGGTTAGCCATCATCTCTCCAGCCTCCGTAGAGAATGTCTTGAGAAGAGGTACGTGGAAGCGAAATCTCCTGAGGACAGTGCAGGAAGGACAGTTGTGCCAAGACACTGGCATAGCAAATCAAGATGATTTCCAAGATATACAGATTACTCTGATTGTAAGAATAAAATTTAGGGGCTGGAGAGATGGCTCAGTGGTTAAGAGCACTGACAGCTCTTGCAGAGGACCCAGGTTCAATTCCCAGCACCCACATGGCGGCTATGAACCGTCCTTACCTCAAGTTCCAGGGGAATTCGACTCCCTCTTCTGACATGCTTGGGCATTGCATGACCGCGGATGCACTCACATACATGCAGGCAATACACTCATAACCAGGTCCTCTGCAAGAACATAAAAATAATAATTTTTTTTAAAAAAAGAAAGTTTAAAATAATAGAAAATGGTAACGTTTGAGGCTAAAGTAGTAGAGTTTGACCATAAACATGAAAACTCGGTGTTGTAGTCTATCAAAGTAGGAACAGCTGATACTTTTTATGTAATTTTTTAGTCTAAATGATTTAAAATATTTAATCAGTTAAGGATCCAAGTGTTAGTGCTTATCCAGAATGCTATTATCTTATAACTACAGAGAATTAAAGCATGATTGTGGTTTCAAGTAATTCCCAAATATATTTACATTAAAATAACTATTTGCTTTAATTTCCAGAGATTGCTTTGCATAAATCCACCCCTGTTTGAAATTTATCAAGTCTTGTTAAGTCCAACACAACATCATGTAGCACTTATTGGAACAAAAGGACTTTCAGTATTAGAATTGCCTAAAAGATGGGGGAAGAATTCTGAATTTGAAGGTGGAAAAACAACTGTGAATTGTAGGTAAGTTGTATTTTCATTTAGTGTTTATCTGTGTAAGTTGCCAAGATCAGGAGTTCTTAATATATGTTTAAGGTGCTACTTTTTTATAGCTGGGCATGGTGGTACACACCTGTACTCCCAGCACTTGGGAGGCAGGGGCAGGTGGATTTCTGTGAGTTTGAGGCCATCCTGATCTACATAGTGACAGAAAAAAAAGATGCTACTTTTTTGTGTGTATGTCTTTTTAAGACAGTATCTACCTGTAGCCCCAGTCTTCCTGGAACTCCCTATGTAGACCAGAGTTCCATCTGCCTCTGCCTTCCGAGTGCTGGGATTAAAGGCGTGCACCACTATGCCAGGCAGGATGCTACTTTTTTTTTTTTTTTTTTTTTTGGTCTTTTTGAGACAGGGTCTCCCTGTAGCTCCAGCTGTCCTGGAGCTCACTATGTAGACCAGGCTGGCCTTGAACTCACAGAGATCCACCTGCATCTGCCTTCTGAGTGCTGGGATTAAAGGCATGCGCCACCATGCCCAGCCAATCCCTTAAATTTTTTAAAGATTTATTGTTCGTTTATGCATATGAGTGTTTTGCCTCCATGTATGTCTGTGTACTGCCTGTATGCCTGGGGCCTACAGAGGTCAGAAGAGGACACTTGATCCCCTGGAACTGTAGTCAACAGTAGTTATGAGAGTTATGAGCCACTATGTGGGTTCTGGGAACTGAGCCCAGTTCTTTTGTTAGAGCAGCAAGTGCTCTTAGCCACTGAGCCATCTCTCTAGCCCCTATTTTTAAAAATATTTTATTTTTATTTTATGTTTATGAGTGTTTTGCCTGTGTATGTATGTAAGAGCACGACATGAGGGTAATGCCCACTCTAGAACAGAAGTTAAATGGTTGTTAGCCACCATGTGAGTACTGGGATCCAAACTTAGATCCTCTGCAAGAGCAGCCAGTAATCTTAACCACTGAGCAAATCTCTCCAGCCTCCTGTGTTTTTAATCATGTGTATCTGGGTATGTGAGTCATGTTGCTCACTGAGGTCAGAGGCTTTGGATCTTCCTGGAGCTGGAGGTATAGGGAACTGTGAGCCACCCATTGTGAATTCTGGGAACCAGACAAGTCCTAGGTCCAAACAAGAGCAATGCACTCTTAACCACTGAACCATCTCTCCAGCCCCTAGTCCCTTACTTTTACAAAAATACCTATGAGTTTACAGTTAGGTTCCCACACCAAAGAACTATGCACAAAATGAAGCAAAGCATATTGGTTAAGGGTTTTGAATGCTAACTAACACCTGCATTCCAAGAAATGGTTTACATGTCATGCCATTTTCTGGTCATTACAGTTTGTGCTATGATATCACAAACTTACCATGAGCTAGTCATGCCCTCAAAAGACATAGCAGTTGATCAGACTGCCAGGTATTCAAGTGTAGAAAGTAGAAGAACAAAACATTTAAACTGAGGCACATGTTACTTCACAGTTTAGCAAACAAAGCATGTGGAAGCCTTAATACCTAATGTAGCAGAAAGTACCTATTAAATTCCCCCCTCTCCTTCCACACAGTAGGATTGAACCTATGACCTCATGTATGCTGGTCAATCTCTCTACTACTGAGCTGTATCCCCCAGTGGTCCTACCTGTTAATTAAACTCTTTTTTTCTCTTTGAGACATGGTCTCTATGTGTACCAGACTGGCCTCAAACTCATAGAGATTCACCTGCATCTGCCTCCTGAGAGATAGACTGAAAGGCATACCACTATTCCAGATCCCTATTAAATTCTTGATATCCAAAGCCTTGGCATTTTCTCAGCTTAGTTCAAGTAGCTACATGAAGTTTTCATTAGAATGGAAAATCCTGGGAGTTATTTGTAGTGTGTGTGTTTTATACTTGTTTTGTTTTTGCTAGGTTCTCTCTGTAGCCCCAGCTGTCCTGGAACTCCCTGCGTAGACCAGGCTGGCCTTGATAGGCTGTTCTTTCTGTTTGGTAGAAATAAGCTTTGGCGTTCTGTGTTTTTTTTAAGGAGATTCTGGGGGCTGGAGAGATGGCTCAGTAGTTAAGAGCATTTGCTGCTCTTGCAGAGGACCTGGATTTAATTCCCAGCACTCCCATGGCAGCTAACACCTGTTCTTAACTCCAGTTCCAGGGGGATCTAACACTGTCTTCTAGCCTCTGTAGGCACTGCATGCACAGGGTGCATTTACATATATGCAGGCACATAAAAATAAATTTTATATATATAAAGGAGTTACTGTTCAGGAGGCAGAAGTTTGCTCAGAAGCTTATCTAGATTTTTAGTTTTAATTGAGACATTCTCACTAAATAGCTGAACTTGCCTCAAATGTGTAGTCATTCTGAGCCTAGTGAATGCTGGGACTACAGAGGTATGACACTCAGCCCAACTTTCAGTTTCAGTTATACATACCTATCTAGAAAAGTGAGATCTGAAAAGTTTATTGAAAAGAATATAAGGTAGAACCTAAAACCCATCTTTACCTGTATAAGGAGATTCTACTTGAACTACTTAATATCTTTTTAGATCTCTATTCCCTAATTTTTTAAAAATATATTTATTCTTTTTATTTTTATGTGTATGAGTGTATTGCCTGCATGTATGTGAGTGCACCCGTGTCATGCAATGCCGCGGAGGTCAGAAGAGGGCTTCGGATTCTCTTGGAACTGGAGTTAAGGACAGTTTGTAGTTGCCATATGGGTGCTAGGAATCAAACCTGGGTCCTCTGCAAGAGTGGTCAGTGCTCTTAACTGCTGAGCCATCTCTCCAGCCCCCTAATTTTTAAAATAATGATAATACTTGCCTTTATAGTTTCCTTATTATATTAATTAGTAAAAGTACCAAATAAGAGGCAGTGTCAAAACACATTTGTAAAGAGCTGTGTAAGCTGGGTGTGTTAATACACAACTGTAATTCCAACACTCAGGAGGCTGAGACAGGAGGATTGCTGTGGGTTCAAGGCTAACCTCGGCTACATAGTACTAGGCCCCAGCCAGGGCTATATAGCAAGACCCTGTCTGAAAAAGCAAAAATAAAACAAAAACTATAAAATACAGTTAGGGTTTAAAAAATATATTTACTCTAACTCCTTGGTATTGATTGTGTAGGTTCTCTGAATGCTCAGGATTTAAGAGAAGGAAATTTGAAGGAAAGAAAAGCAATGAGTATTAAAATAGATTTTCCTTTAAAGTGTCTTTCATCCAAGCTGTATACATGTTTTCAAAAATTGTTATCTATATTTTAGTACCACTCCAATTGCTGAGAGGTTTTTTACCAGCTCTCCTCTGACTCTAAAGCATGCTGCCTGGTATCCAAGTGAAATGCTGGATCCCCACATAGTACTGTTAACATCAGACAATGTAATAAGGTGAGCTTATTTTACCTCCTTTGTGCCTTTGTGAATGGGAAAATCTCTGTTCCTGATTACTTATTTACTGTTTAATAGCTTAAGATAACATAAGTCAGTGGATTTTTTTTTTTTTTTTCCTGATTGGCTATTGTAAACCATTCTTTCTCCTTTTTTCCATTTATTTTGTGTGTATATGTTTTGGTGTACATTTTCATGTGCACAGGCTTCATCCTCTTACTTTCCTCCTTATTCCCTTAAGATAGGGAAGCTCATGGTTTCCACTAGGCTGGCAAGCTCCCAGGATCTACTTGTCTCTGCACCCCCAGTGTTGAGGTTGCCTGTAGGCAAGCGCAGCCATGCCTGGCTTTTATGTAGGTGCTGGAGATTTAACCTCAGGTCCTCATCCTTATACACAGCAAACACTCTTACATCTCCCCAGGCCCATAAACCATTCTTAATCATAAGAATTGCATAACTGCCCTAACTTAACATGTCGTAATTACTGCAATTCCTTCTCAATTAATCTTCCTGCTTCTAGTCTGACCTAAAAGTGCTGCTTGAATAATCTTCCCCAGACTCTGCATCATGTCACACCTTTGGTGATAATGGAGCATAAGGAAAACAGTGTAAGTGAAACAGAATGAATTTAATCCATGCTACAAAGTCATTTCTATTATCTTTGAAATCTTAAACTTACTTTGGTAGACAGAGGGGCTCAGTTTCCAACTGGCTTTTTTGATAATTTCTAGCTTACCTTTATTTGTTTGTTTGTTTGTTTATTTATTTATTTATTTACTTATTTTGGTGTTGGGTACCAAACCTAGCACATTACACATCCTAGGTAAGTGCTCTATTTCTGAGCCATATCTCCAGTTGATTTGAGAATTTCTTTTCTGTGTCTAATGTATTTTTTGTTTGGTTGGTTTTTGTTCTGTGTGGGGTCTAGAGGTTGGCAGGGTCTCACTAGTATTCCTGGCTGGCCTGGAGCTCGATATGTAGACTAGGCTAGCTTTAAGCTCCCAGAGCTCCAGCTGCTTCTGCCCTCCCAAGTGCTGGAACTGAGGGCATACACACCACACCCAGCTTTTGTTTTCTTTTAAAGAGGTCAAAGTTTTCATTACATTTATTTATTTAGTGTGTGAATGCTTGTTTTTGTGTGGTCAGAGGATAGCTTGCAGAGTCACTTCCCTCCTTGGGTTCTGGAGATCAAACTAAGGTCATCATACTTGACAGCTAGCAGCTTTGTTTTATTTTGGTTTTGATAGGGTCTTGCAGTCTGACCCAGGCTGGCCACCCAAGCATGGAGATTCCAAGCATGTACTCAATACCTAGCTCTAATTTTTAATTTTAGGCTTTTGTTTGATTGGCTGGTTAGATGCATTTTTGTTTGTTTGTTTTTAATATTTTCACTGGGACTTAAACCCTAGGACCTTGTACCTGTTAGGTAAGTGCTGTACCACTGAGCCACATCTCTAGTCCTTACTTTTTTTTTTTTATTTTGAGATCTTTTTTTTATTTTCATCTCACTGGGTTGCCATTGAACTTGTATTTCTCCTGCCTAGTCTCCCAAGTAGCTGGGATAACAGGCTTTCTCTGCCAGACCCAGCTTGTTTTCTTTTTGTTCTGTAGGGGGTTTTGTAGCATTTTTGTTTTCGGGGAATTTTGGGGGGAAAGGGGTGGAGTTTGGTGAAAGGGTCTTGTCATATAGCCAGGCTAACCTCAAACTTGTGATCTGACTGCTTAGATTACAGGTATGAGCCACTGCACTCAGCTTAGCATTCTATTAGTTTACTTTTTTCTTCTATAATTAAAAAAAGATTATGTGTGGTGTATGCATACATGCTATACGCATAGTGTGCACTTGGGTGTGTGTATATGAAGATCAAAGGAGGTATTGTATTTGGGTGTCTTCCTCTATCCTTCCACTGTATTTCCTTGAGGCAGGGTTTCTCACTGAACCTGAAGCTCACCATTTTGGCTCGGTTATCTGACCATCGAGCACCTAGGATCCACTTGTCTCTACCCCTACAGTGGTGCCATTATGGATATCTGTGGCCATTCCCAACTTTTATGTGGGTATTGGGAGTTTGAACTCAGGTCCTCATGCTTACACAGTAAATGCATTTACCCACTGAGTCATCTTCTTTAGCCCCTAACAGTTTACTTTCTGAATCTATATTATATGAAATTTGTTGGGAGCATTTAACAAATACCTCTAGTTTTATGTTTTCTAATCGTAGCTTCTTTCTTCTGCTCTACCAAAGCTTCCTTCCCTACTGAAGTGTTGATGGTTGATCCAATCTTACACAGATTCCATAGCCTCTCCTTAGTTTCATTTATTAAAGCCAGTTTGTCTGGAGCTGAGCCTGGTGTCCTAGTTACTTTCTGTTGCTGTGATAAAACACTGACCAAAAGCAACTTAGGAGAGAAAACGGGTTATTTCATCTTATCGCTTACAGTCCATCATGAAGGGAAGCCAAGGCAGGAACCTGGAAGCAGCTTACTGGCTTGCTTCCCTGACCTGTCCCTAGCCTGCTTTCTTATAACTCAGGACCACCCGCCACAGTGAGCTGAGCCCTCCCATATCATTCAGCATTCAAGAAAATGCCTCATAGTCATGCCCACAAGTCAATCCAATACAGGCAGTTCTCCAGCTGAGGTTCTCTCTTCCCAGGTGTGTCAAGTTGACAACTGAAGTTGGTGGCCAGCTCTGTCTATGTAGCGAGTTTCTGGCTATCCAGGGCTACATAATGAGACCCTGTCTCAAAAACCAACAAAAACAACAAAAAACCCCAAAAGCGAAACAAACTGCTATGTCCAGGTTAAAACTCTGAGAGATCTGGGGCCTGGAGAAATGGCTCAGCGGGTAAGAACACTGACTGTTCTTGCAGAAGACCTGGGTTTGTATCCCAGCACCCACATGACAGCTAACAACTGTCCGATATTCCAGTTCCAGGGGATCCGACAGTCTCTTTCTGTCCTCCGTGGACATTGCACGACATGGGTACACTTACCTACATGCAGGCAATACACGCATACACATAAAATAAAAAACAACAACAAACAATCTGATCCGGGGGCCATAGAGATGGCTCAGTGGTTAAGAACACTAGCTGATCTTGCAGAGGACCTGGGTTCAGTTCCCACCACCTACAACTGTCCTTAATTCTAGTTCCAGGGGATCTGACACTCTCTTCTAGCCTACATGAGCTTGCATGCATGGGTGTGCTTACATATATGCACATTAAATGCTCATACATATAAAAATAAGTTTAAAAGCTGGCCTGAAGTTACTTTATTTATGTGTGTGTGTATTTCATAGACAGGAGAGATGGCTTAGCAATTAAGAAGATTTCCTGTTCTTTCAGAGGACACAGATTTGGTTCCCAGCACCCACATGGTGGCTAAAGATCATCTGTAACTCCAGTTCCGGGAGATCCTATACCCTATTTTGGCCTCCTCAAACTTTGGCCACCAGGAGCAGCCATGGGACCTGATTGGATTACCACAGAACTGAAAGTAAACCAGGGGGCCCAAGTTTCCATGCATCTGAGTGCTGATTGCATCAGCAGCAGCTCTGCTTTTATTCTCCATGCTAGTGAGAACCACAGTCACACGTCTGCAGAGCTGAACAATAATAAAATGACTTCTCTACTCCTGAGAACTACAGCCAAACATTTACAGAACACTGAATAATAATAACGTGGCTTCAATATAACAATTCAGCAAATAAGGTGAGCACAGCCACATTATCTCCATGCTGTGTCTACTTAGGAGGTCAGCGTGTTTCACGAGAAACTAGAGGGGGCACCCTGCAGCATTCTGGAGATACCTCCCCAATGAGCATTCTTTCATAAACTTTCTCATGAGACACAAAGCTTTCCAGACACACATGCTCAAGGTTCAGCTGAATTCACCAAGCGTAGTTTTAGTCATAGCAACACTATTTCCCAGTCCCTTCTTCAGACATTGCATATATGTGGTGCACTTACATACGTGCAGGTAAAACATTCAAAAACATAAAAAAAATTTTTTTTATTCTTTTTTTTTGAGACAGGGTCTCCCTGTAGCCCCAGCTGGCCTGGAACTTGCTATGTAGACCAGGTTGGCTTCAAACTCACAGAGATCTGCCGGACTCTGCCTCCCACATGCTGGGGTTAAAGACATGCACCACCACACCCAATTTTTAAAAAAAATTAATTAAAAAAAGAGAAGGTAGTCCCTGTCCTCATATGTTACTCCATAACTAAGAGTGCTGATACAGAAAGAAAAATAAGAACCATGTGAGTGCTGGAAAACAAATTAGGGCCCTCTGCAAGAGCAGCCAGTACTCTTAACCACTGATCCATCTCTCTAGCCTCCCTCCTTCTCTTCTTCAGAATGGATAGAGTTGGTAGATAGATGAGGCAGAAACCTTATCTCTTAGCAATGGTGAAGTATGCCTTGGCTTAATGTAGTTCCATCTGCTGCTTATAACCTCTGTTATTGTGGTAGTGTCTGTATTTTAGGGCCATTGTTTACCTTCCATGTCCTTCCATCCTGAGGAGATCTGTATCCCATTGTCTTCTGTCAGTTACCCATGCTCTACACTCTCAAGATGGAGTAGTCCCAAACTTGGTGTATCCTTTCTTTCTTTATTATTTACATTTTATTTATGCATTTATGTACTGTGTATGTATGTGTACCATGGTGTGTGTGGAGTCAGGACAATTTGCAGGGGTCTTGTTCTCTCCTTCCACCACACGGGTTCTGGGAATTGAACTCAGGTTGTCAGTCTGGCAGCTGGTGCCTTTACCAGTTAAGCCATCCAAGCCAGCCCTCTTATGTGTTTGTGTGTGTGTGCACCCCTACAGAGGCCAGAAGAACCTCTGGAGCTGGAGTTACAAGTGGTTGTGAGCTGTCAAACATGGGTGCTGGGAACCAAAGAAGAGCAGTACCAGTTTGCACTCTTTTCTACTGAACCATCTCCCCAGCTCCTCCTGTGTCTTTTTAATCTATTATGGTTTTTCATACACCCACAGTAGCTATCAATGTCCTCTTTGTTGCCCACCAAGGGCTGTAGAAAACTGGACATAGTCCTTTCTTGTGATGCCCCAATACATCTTCTTTAGGAATTTCTGCAAAAATAGATAAATTACAGTGAGTACATGCCATTGAGGCCCTCAGATGTGACATGTCGGATTCACCTAAGAATTTCCTTGGGAGCAGATAGGTTTCTGCCCCACATATTTAAATAGAAACCAAGACACCAATTTCTCTTATTACAGATACTGCTGCATTGTCTCAGTGTTTCTTCTAGAACTTTCCATTATCACCCATTGCAAACATTGCTCTGTAACTACCAAGGATGCCTTGATACCCTATCATCTTTTTTAAAAAAAATTTTTTATTGTTTTTTATTTTATGAGTTTGCCTGCATGTATGTAAGTGCACCCATGTCATGCAATGCCTGCTCAGGTCAGAAGAGGGTGTCTAATTCCCCCGAAACTGGAGTTACAGATGGTTGTTAGCCACCATGTGGGTGCTGGGAATTGAATCCAGGTCTCTACAGGAAGGGCTCCAGACAGAAAAGGTGGAGTATACGATACATAATAGGCTGCCAAAGAATTATGATGCAGGTGTTGGGGTTGCAGCCCAGGGGTGGAATGCTTGCTTGGTATGCTTGAGGTCTTAGGTTCCATTACTAACATTGTAAACCCCCCTCTCACCAAAGGAAAGCCAAAGTTGATAAGGATAGAGAGCATTTCAGGTCCTAAAGAAACCTCTCTCTTAAATAAACAAAGGAAATAGGCCACTTTGTCAGGAATAGCAAATCTTTGACAAAGAAAATTCTGGTAGGAAAATTCTTCGTAACTGATTAGATGGTGTGCTGGTTAGTTTTGTCAATTTGACATAAACTAGAGGCACCTGGGAAGAGGGAGCCTCAATTGAGGAATTTCCTCCATCAAACTGGCCTGTAGGCATGCCTGTGAGGCATTTTCTTAATTGTTAATTGACTTAGGATGGCCCAGTCCTCTGAGGACTGTGCTGCTCTTCCCAGGCAAGTGGGTCTGAACTAAGAAAAGTAGCTGAGCAAACCAGTGATAAGGCAGTGTACTTCCATGGTCTCTGCTTTAGCTCCTACGTGACAGGTTCCTGCCTTGAGTTCCTGACTTCCCTCAATGATGAACTATCACTTGGAAGTGTAAGGTGAAATAAACCCCTTCCTTCCTAACTTGGTTTTGGTTAATGTCTTATCACAACAATGGAAACCAAACCAAAACAGATAATAAGTGCCTTTTGGGGGAAATGGGAGAGATGAAAGTAAACTTTGCTCTTGTTTTGTTGAAAAGTATCTCACTCTGTAGCCTAGACGGGCCTAGAACTTACTATGTAGCCTAGACTAGCCTGGAAATCTTGAGGCTCTTGCCTCAGCCTTCCTCCCAACATACCGGAGTAACTGGCGTTACCTGGCTTCAAGGGAACATAAATGCTGTTTTTCTTTTCTTTTGCTTGCTAGAATTTACTCTCTTCGTGTGCCTCAGACACCCACTAAAGTGATTGTACTTTCAGAAACAGAAGAAGAAAGTTTAATACTAAATAAAGGGTAAGTTTTTGCATCACAAAATGTTCAGTTTATTGAGATTATAAATGCAGTTTTAATAATAATTGCAACATTTCCAGAGGTAAGTTTTACGTGTTTTTGTTATATAACAAGTGGACAATGTAAATAACTCATAAGAAGTTACACATCTGAATGTCACTTTACTAGCTTGATCTCTTTTCAAGAAAATGCTAACCATATAAGTGTGTGATGGCTAATCCTGGGTGTCAACTTGACTGAATCTGGGATTGACCAAAATGAGAGAGATCTTGATTGGATCATCTGAAGCTGGAAGACACACCCTAAATGCGGGTGTTACCTTATGATGGCAGCCCATATAAAAGGCCATGGCAGAGGAGAACACCTGGCTTCTTGCTGCTTGCCTTCTCTTTCGCTGGTGAGTTCGTCTTGCTGCTGTAGACTAGCTGATCTTTTGGAATTCGTCAGACCTTCAGCACCATATTGGGACTACTGAGACATCCAGCCTCGTGGACTGAGCGACTACGGATCCTCAGCCTCTCCAGTGTGGTACGGCCATTGTTGGAGTACTCAGACTGTCCTGTGAGCTAAGCTGATAATTCTCTATACATAAATATTCATGTTACTGGCTCTGTTTCTTTGGAGAACCCTGACTAATACAGATTGTGGTACCAGGAGTGGTTCTAGAGAAACAGAATTGAAAGGATGAATTTCTTTAATGGGCTTGTTGGTATTTGGAGCAGGCTCTCCAACTCAGAGTCTTCAGATAGCATGGAGAGCACTGAAAACCCGTGGTGTAGACTATTTGAAACAATTATGGAGATAGACGCATTTGAATCTCCTAACTCACCTCTTGTGAAGAGCAAATTTAGTGACTCTATACATAAAACGTTTGACAATTTGTGGAAAAATAAGAAAAATAATGATGCTGGCTGGTTACTTCTAGCATCTCTGGATAAAGTGATGAAGATAAACAATGAGCTTAGTGATAAAATTGACAAGCTCCAGATTCAAATCAATAGTTTAAAAGTTCCCAAATGTGCCCTGGAAGAGAATCTTCTCTCCAGCAGCCAGAGCTGCTCTTTCAGCAGCTCCAGAAAATCAAGCTGGAGCCCTTATTCTATGTTTGGCTGACGTACAACGTAAATTTAATTCCCTGTCTCAAGGGTATATTAGCTCTCCAGCACTGTGCCATAACTTGGTTCAAAGGGATCTTGATTGCCTGACTTTTCCACAAAATATCACAATGGTCCACTATATCGATGATGTTATGCTGATTGGATCCAGTGAGCAGGAGGTAGCAGACAGTCTGGACTTGTTGGTTAAGCATATGCTCATGAGAGTATGGGAAATAAATCCAACCAAAATTCAAGGGTTTTCTACCTCAGTGAAATTTCTAGGAGCTCAGTGGTGTGGAGCATGCAGAGACATTCCTTCTAAGGTAAAGAATAAGTTGTTGCACTTGGCCCCACCCTCCACCAAGAAAGAAACACAATGCTTGGTGGGCCTGTTTGGATTCTGGAGGCAGCACATCCTCATCTGCTTGTGTTACTAGGACCCATATATCAAGTGACTCAGAAGGCCGCTACCTTTGAGTGGGGCCTGGAACAGGAAAGGGCCTTTCAACAGGTCCAGGCTTTTGTACAAGCTGCTCTGCCCCTTGGGCCATTATGATCCAGCAGACCCGATGGTGCTTGAGGTATCTGTGGCAGATAGAGATGCTGTTTGGAGTCTCTCTCAGACCCCCATAGGGGAATCACAGTGGAGGCCATTGGGATTTTGGAGTAAGGCTTTGCCTTCATCTGCGGACAGCTGTTCAGAGGCAGACAGCTCTTAGCCTGCTATTGGGCCTTAGTGGAAACTGAACGCTTGACAATGGGCCTCCAAGTCACCATGCGACTGGATCTTCCCATCATGAGCTGGGTGTTTTCTGACCCCGCAAGCCATAAAGTAGGCTGTGCACAGCAACAATCCATTATCAAACGGAAGTGGTATATATGTGATCGGGCTCGAGCAGGCCCAGAGGCACAAGCAAGTTACATAAAGAAGTTGCCCAAATGCCTATGGTTCCTACTCCTGTTACGATGCCTTCTGTTCTCAAGCATGCACCTATGGCTTCATGGGGTGTGCCCTATGATCAGTTGACTGAGGAAGAGAAGACTAGGGCTTGGTTTACAGAT